TTCTATTTTAGCTCAGCATCCGCTGGACCAATGAAAAAGTGCGCCATACATTTTTTGTTCGCTACTTTTTGCTAAAGACTTTGGCGGTATTCCCGAACGATTATCTCGAAAATTTAATTTTTCGAAAATTTTTCATAAATTTATTCGAGTGTAGCTCAGCATCCGCTGGACCAATCTAAAAGTGCGCCATACATTTTTTGTTCGAGACTCCCGAGTTTAGACTTTGGTGATATTCCAGAAGGATTATTTCGCAAATTTAATTTTTCTAAATTTTTTCTGAAAAAAAAGTTTCAAACAAAAAATGTATGGCGCACTTTTAGATTGGTCCAGCGGATGCTGAGCTACGCTCGAATAAATTTATGAAAAATTTTCGAAAAATTAAATTTGCGTTATAATCTCTCAAGAATACCACCAAAAAATAGTCAAAATGTTTTGATAAAAAAATGTATGGCGCACTTTTTGATTGGTCCAGCGGATGCTGAGCTACACTAAAAAACATTTTGGAAAAATTGTTGAAAAATTAAATTTTCCAGATAATCGTTCGGGAATACCGCCAAAAAAATAGTCAAAATGTTCTGAACAAAAAATGTATGGCGCACTTTTAGATTGGTCCAGCGGATGCTGAGCCACACTCAGATAAATTCTTTAAAAAATTTCGAAAAAATAAATTTGCATGATAATTCATCGGGAATACCGCCAAAGTCTTAACCCGGGAGTCTCGAACAAAAAATGTATTGCGCACTTTTTGATTGGTCCAGCGGATGCTGAGCTACACTCAGATAAATTTTGTTAAAAATTTTAAAAAATTAAATTTGCGAGATAATTGGTCTGGAATGCCGACAAAGTCTTAACCCGAGAGTCTCAAACAAAAAATGTATGGCGCACTTTTAGATTGGTCCAGCGGATGCTGAGCTACACTCGAATAAATTTATGAAAAATTTTCGAAAAATTAAATTTTCGAGATAATCGTTCGGGAATACCGCCAAAGTCTTTAGCAAAAAGTAGCGAACAAAAAATGTATGGCGCACTTTTTCATTGGTCCAGCGGATGCTGAGCTAAAATAGAAAACAAATTTGGAAAAAATTCAGAAAAATTAAATTTGCGAGATAATCCTTCCGGAATACCGCCAATAAAAAAGGGAAAAAATTTCGAACAAAAAATATATGGCGCACCTATTGATTGGTCCAGCGGATGCTGAGCTACACTCAAAAATAATTTGGAAAAATTTTCAAAAAAATAAACTCGCTAGATAATCTTTCGGGAATACCGCCATAGTGATTAGAAGAAAGTTCTGAACAAAAAATGTATGGCGCACTTTTTGATTGGTCTTTGGTTTTTTGATTCGCAATTTTGATTTTATGAAAACTAACACCGCATTCGTACACAGCGACTCCAAAAACACTCGAGTAACAAATTTCGGATGAATCTGAGTAAATTTTAAAATTTAATCCGCCATATCGGATCCGCCATTTTGAATTTCTGAAAACTAACACCAGATTCGTAATCAGCGACCCCAAAAACCCCCGAGTAACAATTTCCAAGTAAATTCAATCAATTTTGTGAAAGTTAGTCGCCATATTGGATCCGCCATTTTGAATTTTGAAAAACGCCACACGGAATTAAAAAGTACTTATTTTTATTGAAATAATATTTCATACTTAAACCAATTTTGGACAGAAGGGGGCTTCAGTTGACAAAGAATGCCTCATATATATAATATAAATTTTTTTAATTATAATAACAAAAATAAATAAATATTTTGTGAAAATAAAAAAAAAATTTAATTTGTAATATATAATATAAATAATAAATATTATATAAATAAACAAATAATATAAAACTTTTTTTATTATTTTTAAAATTAATTAAATTATCGTGATTTAATTAAATAAATTTCTGAAAGATAAAATTATCAACTTATGCAGCTTACTCTAACAGCAATCGAATCAATTTTTCTCACAATTTTTTTGCACGATTCTAACAATTTTATAATTTTTAATAATTAAAATACGACCGCACAAATGACAATGTCAAAACATTGAAAAATTTTAACCAACACAAAATAATGTCAAACAACACATTTAAAAAAAACAAAAGACCTCTAACAAATACTAACTTCAGGTGTGGACAGAATGAACGAAAGATATTCACGATTATTATATGTAATTTTTATATTTATCACTTATTTATTTCATATAAACTGTAGATTGACAATTATAATTATTAAAAATATTTAAAAATTAACTATACTACAATAAATACAATTCTTCATTAAACCAAGACTTTGGAATGTATTCTTCCATGTTATATAAATGCAACATACGAATATAATGTGCTAAATAAATTTTATACAATGCATTATTGCTTAAGTCTAAATTATAATTTGAATTCAATTCATCAATTCTTTTAATATCCAAAGAAATAATTTTAAAATCATTGTCATTAACATCTTTTAAACCTATATTTGTCAGGACAAAAGTATTATTTTTTAATTTATTATATCTCTTCGAATTAAGCAGCAGACGACCTGGTGGTTCTGCATGGAATATATGAATTTTATCATTAACTTTCAATTTATGTGTTACATTTATAAGCTGTTCATTTTCCTGTGTGCCAAAAAAATCGTAATAAAAAATTATAGAATCATTTCGTTCTAAACTTATCGAAAAATATAATTCCTTTGGAAAATAAGTATGAATTACGCCAAAAAATTGGTAAATTTCTATTGTCATTGTTTTATAATTTATAAATATGTTTAAAAAACGCCAGTCATCATAACCTAGGGCATGAAAATCATAATACACTAATGGTAAAAATACACTATTTTGTGTAATTTCATTAACTATCAAATGAATGTTTGTTTCTTGGGAAATAATGTGAAAGTCCACATGACTAAAATAAAGATTTCCATTTTTTTCTTTCGCTATAAATATAGAATAAACATCAGACTGTAATTTAATATTCATTAGTTTTCCAGTAATATTGTGACAATTGTTATTCAAATAAAGACAAAAATTTCTTGGATCAATTGATGATTCAATAATAAAATTAACGTCGACATAATTTTTCTTCATTTTTCGCATTAACATTAAAGGTAAAGATTGCCGCCAATCTTTTTCTCTACTTCTGGCTGATAATTCTGTTGGCTTTACATTAAAATCAATAGCAGGCATTACAGGATGTGCGGATAAAAGTCGTACTTCTAAATCAGGATTTACTAAAGGTAGTGTAACATTAAAATTGATTACTTTTTTCAAAAATGGCAATAAATTTATATTGTAAAGATCGAAAAATACTTCTAAAATTAATGGAATTATGCAGTCCTTGTTGAGATATTCTTTTGAATAGTAACGAATATTAAATTCTCTAAATGCTTTATCAGTACCATCGTAGGCAAATAAACTCAAAAAAAGATGTAATTTTTCTTCATAGCCCCACTTTGTGGAAGTACCATTATTTTGATAACTTGATAAAAATTCATTTATATGTGATTCTGAAAATTTAACCCAATAATTCTTCAAGATAAATTTATTTTGATAGAAGGCAGGATAAATATTTGTCCAATAATTAATAGTTGATCCAAAACCATGCGTCGAACCTGATATATCATATTGATGAGCAATTTCGTGTAATAAAACCCACTCTTTAGCTCGAATTGGTTGTAAAACATCTACTAATCCATAGGTAAATTCCAGCCAATTACAGCCTCCATAGGCAGGTGCATTATTTTGCCTTTCTGTACGAAAGAAAATTCGCTGCTTGTTTATTAAATAATATGATAATGAATCATTTTTATCTACATATCGACTAGAACTTGTTAAATAATTGTAGTATTTTATTACATCCACTTGATTTTGCAATGCAATAAATAAACTCAAATTTTTTGATAAGATTTCATTAATATCGTTTGCTGACAGTAACATTTGTGTATAATAATTTTCAACAAAACCATAGGTTTGAACATTTTTGTAAAATTCATTTTCAGCTTTGTGTGAAGTGAGAAAAGTTAAATTTCTCGAATCAAAAATAGGTAAAACTGTCCAATTTTTGGTTTTAATTTTTACCACCACTGGTACATTGTATGAACCTGATAATAGTGGAACGCAGTCAACATTTGTTGTTAATTCAGTTGTACTATTTCCAACTACACGATTTGTATGTAAATATGTAACCTTCTTTTCCTCTAGTTCTATATAAATTGAGACTAGATTTCATAATGTAGCAAAGAATTTAAAAACAACTTAAATAATAGAATTTCTAAAAAAATATTTAATTTTTAAATTAATTTATTTTACAAATAATATTTAGATTCAAAGGGTATGGGGGGTTAAGGATACAAAAAGTGCCGTTGCAGGTATTCTGTTCAAATTGACACCATATATTGCTACCCCTATGAATATAAAATTCTGCAACGTCACTTTTTGTATCTTTTACCCCCTATACCCTTTGTTTTTACTTTAAATTAGTTTTAATCTAAAATAAAGGAGTAAAATTGTTCAAAATAATTACAAAATAAATTTTATACTTTTAATTTAGCAGAGATTTCACATTATCTTTATTATTTGCATAATAATAATGTTCTTTTTTTAAATCTTTTTTTATTTACTGATTTTAATATTTTACGCATAAAAAAATAATAAAATAAGTAATAACAGTTAAGACATTAAAATAATATTTTTTTTCATCAAAAATTTTAAAGCAGTAAAAACTGTACAAAATGGTGTTATGAAATATTGAGAAAATAATTTGATATTAATTTATTTGTAATTTATTTATTACAACCATCCATTTTTACCATTTTTATTGATAAAAAATATTAGCTTTTTAAATGAAAATAACAAAAAAATAATTAAATAAAAAAATTGATCAATTTTGTCAAATAAATTAATTTAATTACTAATAACATAAAAAAAAGTACTATATCTATAATTTTTTGCCCAGATTTTTCAAGAAGTTCATGTAAAATATTAAAAATAAAACTTTAAAAATCCATGCATTTTTAAATAAGTGTTTTGAGAAATCAAAAATAATAAAACAATTAAAATTCTAAAAATTATGAAAAATTTATATCTCGTAAATATGGTTTGATGAGAAAATTGAAAAAAAAATCATGAAAGCTATTCTCAATTAGTAATAAAGGAAAAATAAAAATCGTAAATGTAAATGTAAAGCATAAAGTAACCAAATAAGACAAATTATATTATATTATTTTATTTATATTTTTCATATAATTTTGACGCCCGCCCCGACCAGCAAAACCTCGGCTTCGCCTCGGCTTTGCAAAAGTCGGGCGGGCTACCTGTCATCTGTAACTAAGCCTTCTGCTACAAGCTTCGCTACGTGGCCGGGAGGGCGCGTTGACGCGAGCCACAGCAGTAGACACATGGTTAATGCACATTTTATTAAAAAATAATAATTATTAAACGTACTTTCGAGTGGGGATAAAGAAAAATTGTATACGACACACGGCCAAAAAGTTTGATGCCCTGCTGAGCGTGATATAAGGCCTCGGCTTCGCCTCGGCCTTATATTTCACGCCCGCCAGGAAATCCAACTTTCTGGCCTAGTATCGTAATATACTATTTTTTACTATAGAAAATTACAATTTATTCTAAGTCGAGTATTTAAAAAATTTATAATACATACAATATAATATTTAAAAAACTAATATCAAAGGCAAAATGACTAGAATATTTTAATTATTTTAATGAACTTTTGTAAAAATATTCCAATTTTTTAAATATATACCTCTTTATTCCAGTTTGTGTCCCGTTTTGTGTTGGCAATATAAAAAAGTAGAAAAAAACTTAAAATTTTGAAAATTAACATTTTGTATTTGTATCTAGTTTGACGGTTGGTGAATTATGAAATGAAAACTAAATTTTTATTTATTTTCGGTCCAAACAATACAGATATGATAACAAATTATAGTCACACGTCGAAGAGAGAGAAAATAGACAGCGTTACTACTAGTGTCACTCTCCTCCCTCAACACACACTTATCTATCGGTGATATCACAGAAAATTAAAAGGCATTAAAATAAGCTGCAACGCTTTTTATTTTAATCCAATTTTGCTTATTTTAATACCAAAATGGATTAAAATAAGCAAAATTGGATAAAAATAAGAAGCGTTGCAGCTTATTTTAATGCCTTTTAATTTTCTGTGATACCTATCGACGAATGTTGCTTCTAAGAAACATTTTTTCAATAAGGAACAAATTTTTTCTCTGCCATTAAACCCAAGACTTTGGAATGTATTCTTCCATGTTATTTAAATGCAACATACGAATATAATGTGCTAAATAAATTTTATACAATGCATTATTGCTTAAGTCTGTACTATAATTTGAATGAAATTCATCAATTCTTTTAATATCCGAAGAAATAAATTGAAAATCATTGTGTTTAACATCTTTTAAACCTATATTTGTCAGGACAAAAGTATTATTTTTCAAATTATTATATTGCTTTGAATTAAACCTTAGACGATGTGGTTCTACATGGTAAATATGAATTTTATCATTGACTCTAAATTTATGTTCTACATTTACAAGTGGTTTATCATTTTTCGGACCGCCGAATATATTGTAATCAAAAATAAAAGAACCATTTCGTTCTAAACTTATCGAAAAATATGTTTCATTTTCAAATACATAATGAATATCGCTATAACCTTGTTTTATTCTTATTGTCATAGTTTTAAAGTTTATAAATAGGTTTACAAAACACCAGTCAGCAATACCTAGGGCCTCAAAATGATTATAATTTAAAGGTAAAAATATTTCACTTTGTTTAATTTCTTTAACTATCAAATGAATTTTTGTTTCTTGGGAAATAATGTGATAGTCCACATCACTAATATAAAGTGTTCCATTTGTTTCTTTCGCTAAAAAAATAGAATAAACATCAGACTGTAATTTAATATTCATTAGTTTTTCAGTAATATTGTGACAATTGTTATTCAAATAAAGGCAAAAATTTCTTGGATCAATTGATGATTCAATGATAAAAGTAACATCAACATATTTTTTCTTCATTTTTCGCATTAACATTAAAGGTAAAGATTGCCGCCAATCTTTTTCTCTACTTCTGATTTTTAAATCTGTTGACTTTTGATTAAAATCAATAGCAGGCATTACAGGATGTGCGGATAAAAGTAGTACTTCTAAATCAGGATATACTAAAGGTAGTGTAACATTAAAATTGATCACTTTTTTCAAAAATGGCAATAAATTTATATTGTAAAGATCGAAAAATACTTCTAAAATTAATGGAATTATGCAGTCCTTGTTGACATATTCATTTGAATAGTAACGAATATTAAATTCTGTAAATGCTTTATCAGTACCATCGTAGGCAAATAAATTCAATAAAAATTGTAGTTTTTCTCTATGACCCCACTCTTCAAAAGGAACATTGTTTTGATAAAATGATATAAATTTTTTCTTATCTGATTCTGAAAATTTAACCCAATAATTCTTCAAGATAAATTTATTTTGATAGAAGGCAGGATAAATATTTGTCCATATTTCAACTGTTGGTCCAAAACCATGCGTCGAAACCGATATATCATATTGATGAGCGATTTCGTGTAATAAAACCCACTCTTCAGCTCGAATTGGTTGTAAAACATCTTCTAATCCATAGGTAAATTCAAGCCAATTACTGCCTGCATATGCAAGTGCATTATTTTGCCTTTCTGTACGAAAGAAAATTCGCTGCTTGTTTATTAAATAATATGATAGTGAATCATTTTTATCTACATATCGACTAGAACTTGTTAAATAATTGTAGTATTTTATTACATCCACTTGATTTTGCAATGCAATAAATAAACTCAAATTTTTTGATAATATTTCTTTAATATCGTTTGCTGACACTAACATTTGTGTGTAATAATTTTCAACAAAACCATAGGTTTGAACATTTTTGTAAAATTCATTTTCAGCTTTGTGTGAAGTGAGAAAAGTTAAATTTCTCGAATCAAAAATAGGTAAAACTGCCCAATTTTTAGTTTTAATTTTTACCACCACTGGTACATTGTATGAACCTGATAATAGTGGAACGCAGTCAACATTTGTTGTTAATTCAGTTGTACTATTTCCCTTTTCAGCAAAATTTACTGTTATGAATTCTTTTGATATTTCAGTGGGACAGAAAAATTTTAATCTTTCAACAATTTTTAAAGTTGTTATCGTTAGAGTAAACGATGTGTCTTTTTTAATTATTATTCCAAAATGATTTTTGTAGTGAAAAAATGGTCCTTTGTAATTTACATATCTCCATAAATTTTCAAATTTTATAACACTTGGCTTCACAGTCCTTTCAATTTCCTAAATTGTTTTTAAAAATTATTACAAATTTTTTAAATTTCCAATTACACGATTTGTATATATAAATATGTAACCTTTTCTTTCCTCTAGTTCTATATAAATTGAGACTAGATTTCATAATTTAGCAAAGAATTTAAAAACAACTTAAATAATAGAATTTCTAAAAAAAATATTAAAATTTTTAAATTTAAATAGCAAAACAAATAAAGTAAAATATTTTTGTATAATTTTTTGCACAGACTTTTTAAAAAGTCCATGTAAAATAAACACAATTTAAAATACAACTTTTAAAATTCATGCATTTTTAAAAAAGTTATAAACATTCAATAATAAGAAATCATTAAAATTCTAAAATTTATGAAAAATTTATATCTCGTAAATGGTTAAGAAAATACTTTAAAAAGTAATAGAATTTCAAAAGATCTAAAATCCAGATTTTTAGAATTAATCAAATTTCAGGTGATTTTGCATTGAAAAATGTATATTTAAATAGCTGAGGACTTGTTTCAAAGAATTATACAGACAATAATTGAATTTCAAAGAATTTTTAATTCAAAAATGTTTTAAATAATTGAATTTTATGAAGAATTTCATGAAAATTTTTGAAATTAATTTATTTTACAAATAATATTTAGATTCAAAGGGTATAGGGGGTTAAGGATACAAAAAGTGCCGTTGCAGGTATTCTGTTCAAATTGACACCATATATTGCTACCCCTATGAATATAAAATTCTGCAACGTCACTTTCTGTATCTTTTACCCCCTATACCCTTTGTTTTTACTTTAAATTAGTTTTAATCTAAAATAAAGGAGTAAAATTGTTCAAAATAATTACAAAATAAATTTTATACTTTTAACTTAGCAGAGATTTCACATTATCTTTATTATTTGCATAATAATAATGTTCTTTTTTTTAATCTTTTTTATTTACTGATTTTAATATTTTAGGCATAAAAAAATAATAAAATAAGTAATAACAGTTAAGACATTAAAATAATATTTTTTTTATCAAAAATTTTAAAGCAGTAAAAATTGTACGAAATGGTCTTATGAAATATTGAGAAAATAATTTGATATTAATTTATTTGTAATTTATTTATTACAACCATCCATTTTTTACCATTCTTATTGATAAAAAATATTAGCTTTTTAAATGAAAATAACAAAAAAATAATTAAACAAAAAAATTGATCTATTTTGTCAAATAAATTAATTTAATTACTAATAACATAAAAAAAAGTACTATATCTATAATTTTTTGCCCAGATTTTTCAAGAAGTTCATGTAAAATATTAAAAATAAAACTTTAAAAATCCATGCATTTTTAAATAAGTGTTTTGAGAAATCAAAAATAATAAAACAATTAAAATTCTAAAAATTATGAAAAATTTATATCTCGTAAATATGGTTTGATGAGAAAATTGAAAAAAAAAATTATGAAAGCTATTCTCAATTAGTAATAAAGGAAAAATAAAAATCGTAAATGTAAATGTAAAGCATAGAGTAACCAAATAAGAAAAATTATTTTTTTTACTATAGAAAATTACAATTTATTCTGAGTCGTGTATTTAAAAAATTTTTAATACATACAATATAATATTTAAAAAACTAATATCAAAGGCAAAATGACTAGAATATTTTAATTATTTTAATGAACTTTTGTAAAAATATTCCAATTTTTTAAATATATACCTCTTTATTCCAGTTTGTGTCCCGTTTTGTGTTGGCAATATAAAAAAGTAGAAAAAAACTTAAAATTTTGAAAATTAACATTTTGTATTTGTATCCAGTTTGACGGTTGGTAAATTATGAAATGAAAACTAAATTTTTATTTATTTTCGGTCCAAACAATACAGATATGATAACAAATTATAGTCACACGTCGAAGAGAGAGAAAATAGACAGCGTTACTACTAGTGTCACTCTCCTCCCTCAACACACACTTATCTATCGGTGATATCACAGAAAATTAAAAGGCATTAAAATAAGCTGCAACGCTTTTTATTTTAATCCAATTTTGCTTATTTTAATACCAAAATGGATTAAAATAAGCAAAATTGGATAAAAATAAGAAGCGTTGCAGCTTATTTTAATGCCTTTTAATTTTCTGTGATACCTATCGACGAATGTTGCTTCTAAGAAACATTTTTTCAATAAGGAACAAATTTTTTCTCTGCCATTAAACCCAAGACTTTGGAATGTATTCTTCCATGTTATTTAAATGCAACATACGAATATAATGTGCTAAATAAATTTTATACAATGCATTATTGCTTAAGTCTATATTATAATTTGAATTAAATTTATCAATTCTTTTAATATCCGAAGAAATAAATTGAAAATCATTGTGTTTAACATCTTTTAGACCTACATTTGTCAGAACAAAAGTATTATGTGTTAATTTATTATAAACCATTGAATTAAACATTAGACGACTTGGTTCTGCATGGAAAATATGAATTTTATCATTGGCTATAAATTTATGTGCTACATTTATAAGCTGTTCATTTTTCTGGGTGCCATTTAATTTGTAATTAAAAATAACACAACCATTTCGTTCTAAACTTATCGAAAAATATAATTCATCTGAAAAATAATTATGAATTACGCCAAAAAATTGGTATATTTCTATTGTCATAGTTTTAAAGTTTATAAATATATTTAAAAAACGCCAGTCAGCAATACCTAGGGCATGAAATTCATAATACGCTAATGGTAAAAATACACTATTTTGTGTAATTTCATTAACTATCAAATGAATTTTTGTTTCTTGGGAAATAATGTGATAGTCCACATCACTAATATAAAGTGTTCCATTTGTTTCTTTCGCTAAAAAAATAGAATAAACATCAGACTGTAATTTAATATTCATTAGTTTTTCAGTAATATTGTGACAATTGTTATTCAAATAAAGGCAAAAATTTCTTGGATCAATTGATGATTCAATGATAAAAGTAACATCAACATATTTTTTCTTCATTTTTCGCATTAACATTAAAGGTAAAGATTGCCGCCAATCTTTTTCTCTACTTCTGATTTTTAAATCTGTTGATTTTTGATTAAAATCAATAGCAGGCATTACAGGATGTGGGGATAAAAGTAGTACTTCTAAATCAGGATATACTAAAGGTAGTGTAACATTAAAATTGATCACTTTTTTCAAAAATGGCAATAAATTTATATTGTAAAGATCGAAAAATACTTCTAAAATTAATGGAATTATGCAGTCCTTGTTGACATATTCATTTGAATAGTAACGAATATTAAATTCTCTAAATGCTTTATCAGTACCATCGTAGGCAAATAAATTCAATAAAAATTGTAGTTTTTCTCTATGACCCCACTCTTCAAAAGGAACATTGTTTTGATAAAATGATATAAATTTTTTCTTATCTGGTTCTGAAAATTTAACCCAATAATCCTTGAAGTTAAATTTATTTTGCCATAAAGCAGAAAAAATATTTGTCCATATTTCAACTGTTGGTCCAAAACCAACAGTACTAAGCGACATGTCATAATAGTGCGCAATTTCGTGTAATAAAATCCAGCTTTTACCTCGAGTTGATAGTAAAACGTCTTCTATTCCATAAGTAAGTGTTATCCAAGGAGTTTTCAAATATGCGTATGCATTATTTTTCCTTTCTGTACGAAAGAAAATCCGCTGTTTATTCATTAAGTAATATGATAATGAATCATTTTTATCTACATATCGACAAGAACTTGTTAAATAATTGTAGTATTTTATTACATCCACTTGATTTTGCAAACCAATAAATAAACTCAAATTTTTTGATAATATTTCTTTAATATCGTTTGCTGACACTAACATTTGTGTATAATAATTTTCAACAAAACCATAGGTTTGAACATTTTTGTAAAATTCATTTTCAGCTTTATGTGAGGTGAGAAATGTTAAATTTCTCGAATCAAAAATAGGTAAAACTGCCCAATTTTTAGTTTTAATTTTTACCACCACTGGTACATTGTATGAACCTGATAATAGTGGAACGCAGTTAACATTTGTTGTTAATTCAGTTTTACTATTTCCCTTTTGAACAAAATTTACTGTTATAAATTTTTTTGATATTTCAGTGGGACAGAAAAATTGTAGTCTTTCAACAGTTTTTAAAGTTGTTATCGTTAGAGTAAACGATGTGTCTTTTTTAATTATTATTCCAAAGTGATTTTTGTAATAAAAGAATGATTCTCTGCCTATGTGAGTTTTCCATGATTTTTCAAATTTTCTAACATTTGGCTTCACAGTCTTTTCAATTTCCTAAATCATTTATAAACATTATTACACATTTTTTAATTAAAAATTTTTTTAAAATAAAATACATGTTGGACTCTAAGAGAATTTTCTCACAATCTATAGAATATCATTTTACTAGAATTTCGACATAAACAATTTATCAAAGGCAAAAAAAGAAAGGTATTAATTTAATACCGACTTCAGGTACATTTGATTCTATTTTGATACCTAAAATCGGTACTGTTTTAGTAGTTTTTGGTACTGTTTTAGTACTTTTTTTAACAGTATTACAATAATAATTGAATTTTTTTAATGAACCTTTAATTAAAAATATATGAACTTTTTAAATACTGCCGCGTTTTCTAAAAACTTAGGTAACTGCAAAAAAATCGAAAAATGAGTTTCTTATATCGTTGGAATCGTGGAAAAAAGATACACCTGTTAATGCAAATTATTTTTAAAAATTGTTAATATTATTAATAATAATTTTTGCATAAATAATTGAAAATACCGGTAACTGCAAAAATTGATGAGTGATAATTTGAGAAACTTAGGTAACTGCTATAAAAACTTGGGTGTCTTTGGGTGTTGTGACGTATTTTGTAGGTCGTGATTTGAAGAACTTAGGTAACTGCACCAGTGCCTAAGTTTCTCAAAACACGGACCTCATTTTTCGAGCCCTCGTCGCATGGAAAACTTAGGTAACTACAGAGTGCTATCAGAGCACTGTAGTTACCTAAGTTTTCTATGCGACGAGGCCTCGAAAAAGGAGGTCCGTGTTTTGAAGGACCAAGTAACTGCAAAATCTTATACATTTCTTTAAAATTACAATGTTTTTTGTGCAATTAATAATTTATAATGACAATAAATAATGAAATAAAAAACTCTAAATAATAATTTATCAATTATTGAAAAATTAATTATTAATTTTAATAAATAACATAAAAGCATTAATAAATTAAGAAAATGAAGTTCAGTAATATGTTTATTTCATGATTAATATATAATTAATTTAGTTCAATTATTTAAAAAATTAAAATCGTTTTTAATTATTTAAATAAACGTTAATAAAGCAGCGAACTACATTACCTACAATAATTTGACTTTAATATTGTATAATTAAAATAAATTCAATCATATAGTTTAATATTTGTAAAAAATAATAATTATAATGATAACTTTCGCATCTTACTAAATAATTACACTTTATTATTTATTATTTTTTTAAATTTATTTTTATATTATTTTTATTTTATTTTATATTATTATTAAATATATTCTGAGTTAATACATAATATTTGACTCTAATATTGTATAATTAAAATAAATTTAACCATAAAATTAAATATTTGTAAAAAACAATAATTACAGTGACAACTTTCGCAGCTTATTAAATAATTATAGTTTATTATTTAATATATTTTTACTATTTTTTGCCCAGAAAGATGAAAATTCTTATATATTCCCTGCAGTTACCTAAGTTTTCTGTGCGACGAGAGGCCTAATACGGGCGCTCGTAGCACGAGGGACCAAGTAACTACCAGTTACCTAAGTTTCTCGTGCGACGACCCTCGAATCAGCATAACGGTAACTACATTTTTAATAATTTATTGAATGTTTAAACAAATACAACATTTATTTTTACATAATTAAAAAGAATAAATTTAGACGAATCGAAGGAACAAAACGGCATTTAAAAATTTCAATTAGGCTTTGCGGTACATATCAATGAAGTTTAAACAGTTTTTCGCGTTTTTCTTGAAATCTTTCATTCTGCAGTTACCTAAGTTTTTAGAAAACACGGCAGAATACATACCTCTTGATTCCATTTTATTTCCAGTTCTGTGTTAGTAATATTAAAAAGTAGAAAAAAACTAAAAACTGTCAATGTTAACATTTTTTATGTGTTTCCAGTTTAAAGGTTGAGGAATTATGAAAAAAAAGTCTTGGAAATTTTATTTACATTCGCCTCAACAACATAATTAGGATTATTTCAATATCTTATAATTTATATACATAATATTTTTCACGCTATTTTGTGAAATTCCAATTACCTTTGTTTAAATAATTATTAATCGTTCTGCATAAACGTAATAAATTACGTAGAATAGATAATAAAATAACATCGATGTTTTATTATATTCAAAGAATAACACCGCCCAACACGATTTTTCGCACACGAAAAAATCAATGATTTTCAGACACTAGGACCAAAAAAAAGATACCCGTGTCTGGCCGTTTTGCTAGATCAGGTCATTTTTTGCTTTTAGGGGTAAAAACAACCCTTAAATGAAAGATGATAGGAAATCTTGTACAAATTAATAATTTTTTATAAAACCTGGTATCTCGGGGTTTTCCGGGTCGCTGATTACGAATCTGATGTCAGATTTTCAAAATTCAAAATGGCGGATCCAATATGACGGTCGAAATTTATAAAAATTCACCAATTCATTTAAAAGTTGTTACTTAGGGTTTTTTGGGGTCGCTGATAACGAATTCGATGTCGGGTTTTCAAAATTCAAAATGTCGGATCGAATATGGTGGTCGAAATTTATAAATGTTATTAGTTTTTTATAAAACTTCGTATCTCTGGGTTTTTGGGGTCGCTGAGTACGAATCTGATTGTAGATTTTTAAAATTCAATATGGCAGACTCAATATAACGGTTGAAATTTATAAAAATTGTTAATTTTTTTATAAAACTTGGTATCTAAGGGCTTTCGGCGTCTCTAAGTACGAAAGTGATGTCAGATAAGAATAATAAAAACGCCAAATCTAATAAAGGAGAAGATCACAAATCTGAAAAATAATTTGGAAAATTTAAATGTTCGATCAATTTTTTGTTAAAATTTGCAAGCCAACATTTTAAAATTTTTATTTTAAGTGATTTTTAATCTGAAAATTCGTATATTTATTAACTAAGTTTCTATTAGAATTAATAAATTCAAAAGGTTATAATCAAAATTTATTAAACAAATATAATGCAATTAAATAAAATTAATAGAAACATTTCATAACAACTCTTGTATTACGTTTGTATAAATTTTAGAGGCTTATTTTTACGATTCAAAGATTCGACCACCATATTGGATTCGACATTTTGAATTTTGAAAACCCGACATCAAATTTGTATTCAGCAACCCCAAAAACCTTCAAGTTTCAAGTGAATTCGACGAACTTTTATAAATTTCAAACGCCATATTGAATCTGCCATTTTGAATTTTAAAAATTTGACTTCAGATTCGTACTCAGCGACCTCAAAAACTCCTAGATACCAAGTTTTACAAAAAATAATTAATATTTATAAATTTCGACCGCCATATTGGATCCGCCATTTTGAATTTTCAATTCTGACATCATATTCGTTATCAGCGACCCCAAAAACCTGCAAGTAACAGGTTTCAAGTGAATTAGATGAACTTTTATAAATTTCGACCGCCATATTGAATCCGTCATTTTGAATTTTGAAAATCTGACATCAGATTCATAATCAGCGACCCGGAAAACCCCGAGATACCAGGTTTTATAAAAAATTATTAATTTGTACAAGATTTCCTATCACCTTTCATTTAATGGTTGTTTTTTCCCCTAAAAGCCCCTAGTTTCTGAAAATCATTGATTTATTCGTGTGTGAAAAAAAAGTTAAATTTTGTCGGACGGTGTAATAATAAAATCCCTGGATCCATTTTTATTTTAAATGCTTAAAATATTTTCGATTTCGACACTCATATTATATAAACAGTAAAATATAGAAAAATAAATTATATGCATAAATAATTGATACGAATTCAACTATAATTATTGCAACATATATTTATTTAACAAATAATTTTTTACATATGTAAATTCACAGCTTTTTATTAAAATGAAAAATACATACAAATAAGAAAAAAAAGTTTAAAATTTTGATACTGAACATGTCTTAAATTAGCACAAGGTCATTAAATAGTAAATAATGTCAGTTTTATTATTATTATCATTATTATTATTACACTATTAGGTAAAAATAAATTAACCGACAAATTTTATCAATCTGAATGTTAATATAAAGTTCTAAAAAAAATTGTGAAAAATTATAATTACAATAAATTATTCCTTCCATTTGATCGACGAATATTGCTATTCTAAGGAACATTTTCAATCAGGAACAAATTTTGGTTCTGCCATTCAATCCAAGACTTTGGAATATATTCAATCATATTATTAAAACGTAACCTACGAATATAATGTGAAAAATAAATTTGATACAATGCATTGTTGCTTAATTCTATATTATAATTTGAATTAAATTCATCAATTCTTTTAATATCTAAAAAAAGAAATTTAAAATTATTGTCATTAACATCTTTTAAACCAATATTTGTCAGGACAAAAGTATTATTTTCTAAATTATTATATTCCTTTGAATTAAACATTAGACGACTTGGTTCTGCATGGAACATATAAATTTTATCATTAACTTTCAATTTATGTGTTACATTTATAAGCTGTTCATTTTCCTGTGTGCCAAAAAAATCGTAATTAAAAATTAAAGAACCATTTCGTTTTAAACTTATCGAAAAATATAATTCATCCGAAAAATAATCATGAATTGTGCCAAAAAGTTGTTGTATTCCTATTGTCATAGTTTTGAAGTTTATAAATATTTTTAAAAAACGCCTGTCAGAAAAACCGAAAGCATCAAATTCATAATACACTAATGGTAAAAATACACTATTTTGTGTAATTTCATTAACTATCAAATGAATTTTTGTTTCTTGGGAAATAATGTGATAGTTCACATCACTAATATAAAGATTTCCATTTTCTTCTTTGGCTATATAAGAAGAATAAACATCAGAAAGTAATTTAATATTTATTAGTTTTCCAACAATAGTATGACAATTGTTATTCAAATAAAGACAACTATTTGTGATATCAATTGGTGATTCAATTGTAAAAGTAACATTGACATATTTTTTCTTCATTTTTCGTATTAACATTAAAGGTAAAGATTGACGCCAATCTTTTTCTCTACTTCTGGCTGACAATTCTGTTGGCTTTAGATTAAAATCAATAGCAGGCATTACAGGATTAGCAGATAAAAGTCGTAATTCTAAATCAGGATTTACTAAAGGAGTAGTAACATTAAAATTAATTACTTTCTTTAAAAATGGCAATAAATTTATATTGTAAAGATCGAAAAATACTTCTAAAATTAATGGAATTACAACATTCTTGTGTATATGTTCTTTTGAATAGTAACGAATGTTAAATTCTCTAAAAGACTTATCCGTACCATCATAGGCAAATAAATTCAATAAAAATTGGAGTTTTTCTCTTTTACCCCACTGTACAAAAGGAACATTGTTTTGATAAAAAGATATAAAATTTTTCTCATCTGATTTTGAAAATTTAAACCAATAATTCTTGGAAATAAATTTATTTTGATATAAAGCAGAAAAAATATTTGTCCATATTTCAACTGTTGGTCCAAAACCGAAAGCATCATTTGATATGTCATAATAATGGGCAATTTCATGTAATGTAACCCATTTCCGACCACGATTTGATTGTAAAGTATTTTTTATTCCCTCAGAAAATACTATCCAATTCTGATTTGAATATGCTAGTTCACTATTTCTTTCTGTGCGAAAGAAAAACCGTTGCTTGTTTACTAAAAAATATGATAATGAATCATTTGCATCGACATATCGACTAGCACCTGTTAAATAATTGTAATATTTTATAATATCCACTTGATTTTGCAATCCAACAAATAAACTCAAATTTTTTGATAATATTTCTTTAATATCATTTGCTGACACTAACATTTGTGTATAATAATTTTCAACAAAACCATAAGTTTGAATCTTTTTGTAAAATTTATGTTCATGTTTTTGTGAGGTGAGAAAAGTTAAATTTCTCGAATCAAATATAGGTAAAATTGTCCAATTTTTAGTTTTAATTTTTACCACCACTGGTACATTATATGAAACTGATAATAGTGGAACGCAATCAAAATTTGTTGTTAATTCTGTTGTACTATTTCCATTAGAATGAAAATCTACTTCTATGAAGTTTTCTGTTTTTTGAGTAGGACAGAAAAATTTTAATTCTTCAATATCTTTTGAAGTTTCTATCGTTAGTGTAAAAGTTGTATTTTTTTTAATTATTATTCCAAAATGTTTTTTGTATTGATAGAATGGTCCTTCGTACATGTTATATTGCCATGAATTTTTAAATTTTCTAACACTTGGCTTCACAGTCCTTTCAATTTCCTAAATCATTTTGAGAAATTATTACACATTTTTTAATTAAATTATCTATAATTATATTGAGACTTGCTTTCATGATTAAAAATTGGACAAGTGCGAATTGCACTCGCACTAATTCGAGAGTTCCGTACACCGACAATAATAAACTCTTTTTTCGGACAAAAAAGATTTTTTGTCGGTACATCGAAGGTGTACGGAACCCTAAAAACAAATTTTTTTTAACAAGCCGTTTACAAGATGTGAATTTTTTAAAATTTTAATGAATTTTTATTTTTGAATGCTCATAACATTTTTAATTTGGCGAAGAATTTTAAAAAGATACTTTAAAAAATAATAGAATTTCAAAAGATCTAAAATCCAGATTTTTAGAATTAATCAAATTTCAGGTGATTTTGCATTGAAAAATGTATATTTGAATAGTTTACAGTGCGCCAGAAGAAGGTTTAAATAAAAATGAATTGGCACTTAAAAATTCTTTTTGATTATGGTTCTAAGATGAATAAAAAACTTTTCTCAATAGGTTTTAAAATCAGCTTACGTGCCCAATTTAAAACAAATTGAGTTTTAAATATTTAAAAATAGTATTTTATGAGGAACGAGAATTTATTTAATGTATACTTATATGCGTATAGATAATGGATGTTTTAGATTTGGGTTCATATAAATTTATTAACAATGAAGTTATTTTCTAGTTTCGTTTTTATATTCATGGATTAAGAGTGTCGAACGGTATCTGAAATTCTTTGGCAAGAAGAGAGCTTTAATTATCGCTCTGAACGTGAAATAGTATTAATTTTAAAATACTTTTTTCTCGAAACACGAACACTTTTAACAAAATCAGCCAAAATTCTCATCTTATAAATTTCCTAAATCCAAAAGATGGTACGAATCCATAGAAAAATATGGTTGCAAAACAAAAGGTAGAAAAGTAATCTAATAACAGTTGCGACTTTGTGCGACCTGCATGCTGCTGCCATCTAACGGCGGCAGGAGGTAATGTACCTGTCATTATATTACTTTTCGTTTTGCAATCGTGTTTTTGTATGGATTCGTATAATCTTTAGGATTTAGGAAATTTATATAAGACAAGAATCTCTAGCTGCTTTTGTAAAAAGTGTCCGTCTTTCGAGAAGAAAGTATATTTTAAAATCAATGTTTATCATTTTCACGTTTAGTGCCGTTTTAATAGAGCGATATTTAAAGGTCTCTTCTTGCCAAAAAATTTCAGAGACCATTCGACTCTCTTAAATAAATTTTGTCACTCTTAAAATCGTTCTTTTAACATTATAATTTAATTTTTTAAAATTGGACACAAACACTACAGCAATATAATTATTTATATGTAAAATTGAAAATAAGTAATTATTTTATCATTTATTACAGTATTTATTAGATTAAATAAATTCTGATTCCCCATAAAACACTGTTTTTATATAAAAACTCAATTTTATTTAAATCGGGCACTTAAACTGATTTTAAAAACTATTCAGAAATGTTTGTTATTCATCTAAGAATCATAATCAAAAAGAATTTTTAAATGCCAATTCATTTTTATTTAAACCACCTTCTTGCGCACCTTGGGGGACTTGTTTCAAAATTATATAGGTAATAATTGAATTTAAGAGAATTTTTAATTGAAAAATGTTTTAAATAATTGAATTTTATGAAGAATTTCATTAAAATTATTGAAGTTAATTTATTTTACAAACACTATTTAGATTCAAATTTTTTTTTTACTGTGAATTGGTTTTAATCTAAAATAAAGCAGTAAAATTGTTCAAAATAAATACAAAACAAATTTTATACTTTTAACTTAGCAGAGATTTCACATTATTTTTATTATTTGCATAATAATAATGTTCTTTTTTTAATCTTTTTTATTTACTAATTTTAATATTTTTCGCATAAAAAAATAATACAATAAATAATAACAGTTAGGACATTAAAATAAATTTTTTTTTTATCAAAAATTTTAAAGCAGTAAAAACTGTACGAAATGGTGTTATGAAATATTGAGAAAATAATTTGATATTAATTTATTTGTAATTTATTTATTACAATCATCCATTAGTTACATTTCCATTTTTACCTTTCTTATTGATAAAAAATATTAGCTTTTTAAATGAAAATAACAAAAAAATAATTAAATAAAAAAATTGATCAATTTTGTCAAATAAATTAATTTAATTACTAATAACATAGAAAAAAGTACTATATCTATAATTTTTTGCCCTGATTTTTCAAGAAGTTCATGTAAAATATTAAAAATAAAACTTTAAAAATTCATGCATTTTTAAATAAGTGTTTTGAGAATTCAAAAATAATAAAACAATTAAAATTCTAAAAATTATGAAAAATTTATTATATCTCGTAAATATGGTTTGATGAGAAATTTGAAAAAAAAATCATGAAAGCTATTCTCAATTAGTAATAAAGGAAAAATAAAAATCGTAAATGTAAATGTAACCAAATAAGAAAAATTACTTTTTTTTACTATAGAAAATTAAAATTTATTCTGAGTAGTGTATTTAAAAAATTTATAATACATACAATATAATATTTAAAAAACTAATATCAAACACTGAGAAAAATGATCTATTAAACATTAAACTTTTTTCCTTTTAAATCAAGTCCTTTAATGGTTAAAAGAATTAATTTTATTATAAAAGGCATCTTTTAAATTTAAAAATGTTGGTCGTTTGTTGACAAAACAAAAAGAGTTTGACGAATAAAAGATTTCTTTTGTTTTTCTAATAAATTCCTTTTATGACATAAAAAAATAATAATTTAAAATAAAAATAAATTAAAAAAAAATATTTTATTAGTATTAATTTATATTACAATTATGCATTTACAATAAATTACTTTCATTAATTTTAATTTGTTTTAATTTTTAACAATCAAAGTACTATTTTTAAAAATAAAATTGTTTATTCCTTTACTGTTTTTATTACAGAAAATGGTATTACTTTCAATGTTTTAAAACTAATGACCATCGATGATTTTATAAAACATAACCTTAATATTTCCATGGGTTCAAAAATTTTAATCCAAAAATTTTTCAAAATTGAAAGTGAAAAGGAAAATAATTTCCGTGAATTGAATTTGTAAAATTAAACCAATCAAAAAGGACATTTTTACTATTTTATCATTTTTTATCTTTATAAATTTTATTTACTTTAAATTGAAAATTTTCAAATTTAATTTTATAATTGATCTCTCAAAACTATGAAAAAAAGGTATAAAAAAAATTAATATAAAATAATAGAAATTATGAAAATTTTCCGAGTTTTATGTAAAAAGCTATTAACTTATTAATAATAATAAATATAAATAATTTCATTTCATTTTATTTAAAATTAATAAATGACAGTAATTCTTTAATTATTAACAATACTAATAAATAAAAAATAAATAAACTATATTTATTTTTATTTCTTTAAAAATATTTCCTTTAAATAGTAAACTAAATTCTTTTAATAATTAAAGGATACACTTTAAAAGACTTTCCTTTTGTCCTAAAAGGAAATCCTTTCAAATAAATATTGAAAGGAAAATTCGCTTATGATAAAAGGATTCTTTTAAACTTAAATAGATTGTTTTCTCAGTGAAGGCAAAATGACTAGAATAATTTAATTATTTTAATGAACTTTTGTAAAAATATTCCAATTTTTTAAATATATACCTCTTTATTCCAGTTTATAGTCCGCTTTGTGTTAGCAATATAAAAAAGTAGGAAAAAACTAAAAATTTTGAATATTAACATTTTGTATGTGTATCCAGTTTGAAGGTTGGTGAATTATGAAATGAAAACTAAATTTTTTTTATTTTCGCTCCAAACAATACAGATATGATAACAAATTATAGTCACACGTCGAAGAGAGAGAAAATAGACAGCGTTACTACTAGTGTCACTCTCCTCTCTCAACACACACTTATCTATCGGTGATATATACCTATCGACGAATGTTGCTTCTAAGAAACATTTTTTCAATAAGGAACAAATTTTTTCTTTGCCATTAAAGCCAAGACTTTGGAATGTATTCTTCCATGTTATTTAAATGCAACATACGAATATAATGTGCTAAATAAATTTTATACAATGCATTATTGCTTAAGTCTATATTATAATTTGAATTAAATTTATCAATTCTTTTAATATCCGAAGAAATAAATTGAAAATCATTGTGTTTAACATCTTTTAGACCTACATTTGTCAGAACAAAAGTATTATGTGTTAATTTATTATAAACCATTGAATTAAACATTAGACGACTTGGTTCTGCATGGTAAACATGAATTTTGTCATTGGCTATAAATTTATGTGCTACATTTATAAGCTGTTCATTTTTCTGGGTGCCATTTAATTTGTAATCAAAAATAAGACAACCATTTCGTTCTAAACTTATCGAAAAATATAATTCCTGTAGAAAATAATTATGAATTGTGCCAGAAAGTTGTTTTATTCCTATTGTCATAGTTTTAAAGTTTATAAATATGTTTAAAAAACGCCAGTCAGCAATACCTAGGGCATGAAATTCATAATACACTAATGGTAAAAATATACTATTTTGTGTAATTTCATTAACTATCAAACGAATTTTTGTTTCTTGGGAAATAATGTGATAGTCCACATCACTAATATAAAGTGTTCCATTTGTTTCTTTTGCTATAAAAATAGAATAAACATCAGACTGTAATTTAATATTCATTTGTTTTTCAGTAATATTGTGACAATTGTTATTCAAATAAAGGCAAAAATTTCTTGGATCAATTGATGTTTCAATGATAAAAGTAACATCAACATATTTTTTCTTCATTTTTCGCATTAACATTAAAGGTAAAGATTGCCGCCAATCTTTTTCTCTACTTCTGATTTTTAAATCTGTTGCCTTTTGATTAAAATCAATAGCAGGCATTACAGGATGTGCGGATAAAAGTCGTACTTCTAAATATGGACTTACTAAAGGTACTGTAACATTAAAATTGATCACTTTTTTCAAAAATGGCAATAAATTTATATTGTAAAGATCGAAAAATACTTCTAAAATTAATGGAATTACAACATTCTTGTGTATATGTTCTTTTGAATAGTAACGAATGTTAAATTCTCTAAAAGACTTATCCGTACCATCGTAGGCAAATAAATTCAATAAAAATTGTAGTTTTTCTCTATGACCCCACTCTTCAAAAGGAACATTGTTTTGATAAAATGATATAAATTTTTTCTTATATGGTTCTGAAAATTTAACCCAATAATCCTTGAAGTTACATTTATTTTCATATAAAGCAGAAAAAATATTTGTCCATATTTCAACTGTTGGTCCAAAACCAACAGTACTAAGCGACATGTCATAATAGTGCGCAATTTCGTGTAATAAAATCCAGCTTTTACCTCGAGTTGATAGTAAAACGTCTTCTAATCCATAAGTAAGTGTTATCCAAGGAGTTTTTAAATATGCGTATGCATTATTTTTCCTTTCTGTACGAAAGAAAATCCGCTGTTTATTCATTAAATAATATGATAATGAATCATTTTTATCTACATATCGACTAGAACTTGTTAAATAATTGTAGTATTTTATTACATCCACTTGATTTTGCAAACCAATAAATAAACTCAATTTTTGTGATAAGATTTCCTTAATATCATTTGTTGATACTAACATTTGTGTATAATAATTTTCAACAAAACCATAGGTTTGAACATTTTTGTAAAATTCATTTTCAGCTTTATGTGAGGTGAGAAATGTTAAATTTCTCGAATCAAAAATAGGTAAAACTGTCCAATTTTTAGTTTTAATTTTTACCACCACTGGTACATTGTATGAAACTGATAATAGTGGAACGCAGTCAACATTTGTTGTTAATTCAGTTGTACTATTTCCCTTTTCAACAAAATTTACTGTTATGAATTCTTTTGATATTTCAGTGGGACAGAAAAATTTTAATCTTTCAACAATTTTTAAAGTTGTTATCGTTAGAGTAAACGATGTGTCTTTTTTAATTATTATTCCAAAGTGATTTTTGTAATAAAAGAATGATTCTCTGCCTATGTGAGTTTTCCATGATTTTTCAAATTTTCTAACATTTGGCTTCACAGTCTTTTCAATTTCCTAAATCATTTATAAACATTATTACACATTTTTTAATTAAAAATTTTTTTAAAATAAAATACATGTTGGACTCTAAGAGAATTTTCTCACAATCTATAGAATATCATTTTACTAGAATTTCGACATAAACAATTTATCAAAGGCAAAAAAAGAAAGGTATTAATTTAATACCGACTTCAGGTACATTTGATTCTATTTTGATACCTAAAATCGGTACTGTTTTAGTACTTTTTTTTAAACAGTATTACAATAATAATTAAATTTTTTAAAGAACCTTTAATTAAAAATATATGAACTTTTTAAATACATACCTCTTGATTCCATTTTATTTCCAGTTCTGTGTTAGCAATATAAAAAAGTTGAATAAAACTAAAAATTGTCAATGTTAACATTTTTTATGTGTTTCCAGTTTAAAGGTTGAGGAATTATGGAAAAAAAAGTCTTGGAAATTTTATTTACATTCGCCCCAACAACGTAATTAGGATTATTTCAATATCTTATAATTTATATAGATAATATTTTCCACGCTATTTTGTGAAATTCCAATTATTAATCGTTCTGCATAAACGCAATAAATTACGTAGAATAGATAATAAAATAACATCGATGTTTTATTATATTCAAATAATAACACCGTCCGATTATAATTAACACCGTCTGATTTTCAGAAACTAGGACCAAAAAAAAGATACCCGTGTCTGGCCGTTTTGCTAGATCAGGTCATTTTTTACTTTTAGGGGTAAAAACAACCCTTAAATGAAAGATGATAGGAAGTCTTGTACAAATTAATAATTTTTTATGAAACCTGGTATCTCGGGGTTTTCCGGGTCGCTGATTACGAATCTAATGTCAGATTTTCAAAATTCAAAATGGCGGATCCAATATGACGGTCGAAATCTATAAAAATTCACCAATTCATTTGAAAGTTGTTACTTAGGGGTTTTTGGGGTCGCTGATAACGAATTCGATGTCGGGTTTTCAAAATTTAAAATGGCGGATCGAATATGGTGGTCGAAATTTATAAATGTTATTAGTTTTTTATAAAACTTCGTATCTCTGGGTTTTTGGGGTCGCTGAGTACGAATCTGATTGTAGATTTTTAAAATTCAATATGGCAGACTCAATATGACGGTTAAAATTTATAAAAATTGTTAATTTTTTATAAAACTTGGTATCTAAGGGCTTTCGGCGTTTCTAAGTACGAAAGTGATGTCAGATAAGAATAATAAAAACTCCAAATCTAATAAAGGTGAAAATCACAAATCTGAAAAAATAATTTGGAAAATTTAAATGTTCGATCAATTTTTTGTTAAGATTTGCAAGCCAACATTTTAAAATTTTTATTTTAAGTGATTTTTAATCTGAAAATTTGTATATTTATTAACTAAGTTTCTATTAGAATTAATAAATTCAAAAAGTTATAATCAAAATTTATTAAACAAATATAATGCAATAAAATAAAATTAATAGAAACATTTCATAACAACTCTTGTATTACGGTTGTGTAAATTTTAGACGCTCATTTTTACGATTTAAAGATTCGACCACCATATTGGATTCGCCATTTTGAATTTTGAAAACCCGACATCAAATTTGTAATCAGCAACCCCAAAAACCTTCAAGTAACAAGTTAATTCGACGAACTTTTATAAATTTCAAACGCCATATTGAATCTGCCATTTTGAATTTTAAAAATTTGACTTCAGATTCGTACTCAGCGACCTCAAAAACTCCTAGATACCAAGTTTTACAAAAAATAATTAATATTTATAAATTTCGACCGCCATATTGGATCCGCCATTTTGAATTTTCAATTCTGACATCATATTCGTTATCAGCGACCCCAAAAACCTGCAAGTAACAGGTTTCAAGTGAATTAGATGAACTTTTATAAATTTCGACCGCCATATTGAATCCGTCATTTTGAATTTTGAAAATCTGACATCAGATTCATAATCAGCGACCCGGAAAACCCCGAGATACCAGGTTTTATAAAAAATTATTAATTTGTACAAGATTTCCTATCACCTTTCATTTAATGGTTGTTTTTTCCCCTAAAAGCCCCTAGTTTCTGAAAATCATTGATTTATTCGTGTGTGAAAAAAAAGTTGAATTTTGTCGGACGGTGTAATAATAAAATCCCTGGATCCATTTTTATTTTAAATGCTTAAAATATTTTCGATTTCGACACTCATATTATATAAACAGTAAAATATAGAAAAATAAATTATATGCATAAATAATTGATACGAATTCAACTATAATTATTGCAACATATATTTATTTAACAAATAATTTTTTACATATGTAAATTCACAGCTTTTTATTAAAATGAAAAATACATACAAATAAGAAAAAAAAGGTTTAAAATTTTAATACTGAAGATATCTTAAATTAGTACAAGGTCATTAAATAGTAAATAATGTCAGTTTTATTATTATTATCATTATTATTATTACACTATTAGGTAAAAATATATTAACCGACAAATTTTATCAATCTGAATGTTAATATAAAGTTCTAAAAAAAATTGTGAAAAATTATAATTACAATAAATTATTCCTTCCATTTGATCGTCGAATATTACTTCTAAGGAACATTTTCAATCAGGAACAAATTTTGGTTCTGCCATTCAATCCAAGACTTTGGAATATACTCAATCATATTATTAAAACGTAACCTACGAATATAATGTGAAAAATAAATTTGATACAATGCATTGTTGCTTAATTCTATATTATAATTTGAATTAAATTCATCAATTCTTTTAATATCTAAAAAAAGAAATTTAAAATTATTGTCATTAACATCTTTTAAACCAATATTTGTCAGGACAAAAGTATTATTTTTTAAATTATTATATTCCTTTGAATTAAACATTAGACGAATGAATTCTGAATGATAAATATGAATTTTATCATTGGCTATAAATTTATGTGCTACATTTATAAGCTGTTCATTTTCTTGGGTGCCTTTTAATTTGTAATCAAAAATTAAAGAACCATTTCGTTCTAAACTTATCGAAAAAAATAATTCCGTTCCATAATAATGGTGAATTATGCCAAAAAGTTGTTGTATTTGTATTGTCATAGTTTTAAAGTTTATGAAAATTTTTAAAAAACGCCTCGTAGCAATACTTAGGGCATCAAATTCATAATATACTAAGGGTAAAAATATTTCACTTTTTGTAATTTCATTAACAATCAAATGAATTTTTGTTTCTTGCGAAATAATGTGATAGTCCACATCACTAATATAAAGTGTTCCATTTGTTTCTTTCGCTATAAAAATAGAATAAACATCAGACTGTAATTTAATATTCATTAGTTTTTCAGTAATATTGTGACAATTGTTATTCAAATAAAGACAAAAATTTCTTGGATCAATTGATGATTCAATGGTAAATGTAACATTGACATATTTTTTCTTCATTTTTCGCATCAACATTAAAGGTAAATTTTGTCTCCAATCTGATTCCCTACTCTTGGCTTTTAAATCTGTTGGATTTAAATTAAAATCAATAGTAGGCATTACAGGATGTGCGGATAAAAGTCGTACTTCTAAATATGGACTTACTAAAAGTAAAGAGACAGGAAAAATGATAACTTTCTTTAAAAATGGCAATAAATTTATGTTGTATAGATCGAGAAATACTTCTAAAATTAATGGAATTATATTAAACTTATAAATATTTTCTTTTGAATAGTATCGAATGTTAAATTCTCTAAAAGATTTATCAGTACCATCGTAAGCAAATAAATTCATTAAAAAATGTAATTTTTCTCTATATTCCCACTCTTGAAATGGAACATTATTTTGATAAATTGATAAAAATTTTGTTTTATCTGATTCTGAAAATTTAATCCAATAATCATTGGAGTAAAATTTATTTTGATATAAGGCAGAAAAAATATTTGTCCATACATCAATAGTTCCCCCGAAACCAAGTGTATCTTCCGTTATGTCATAATAATGTGCAATTTCGTGTAATAAAGTCCATCTTCCGGCTCGTGTTTGATGTAAAGCATCTTCTAATCCATAAGTAAATGTTATCCAAGGAGTATCCAAATATGCAAGTGCACTATTATTCATTTCTGTGCGAATAAAAAATTTGTGCTTATTAAGTAAACAAAATGATAATGAATCATTTTTATTTACATATCTACTGGAAGCTGTTAAATAATTATAGTATTTTATTACATCCACTTGATTTTGCAATGCAATAAATAAACTCAAATTTTTTGATAATATTTCTTTAATATCGTTTGCTGACACTAACATTTGTGCATAATAATTTTCAACAAAACCATAGGTTTGAACATTTTTGTAAAATTCATTTTCAGCTTTGTGTGAAGTGAGAAATGTTAAATTTCTCGAATCAAAAATAGGTAAAACTGCCCAATTTTTAGTTTTAATTTTTACCACCACTGGTACATTGTATGACACTGATAATAATGGAACACAATCAACATTTGTTGTTAAAACTCTTGTTCTATTTCCGGTCTTTATAAATCTTAGTCTGATATATTCTTCTGATATTTCAGTAGGACAGTAAAATTTTAAACCTTGAAAAATATGTGAAGTTTCTGTCGTTAGAGTAAAAGTTTTATCTTTTTTAATTATTATTCCAAAGTGATTTTTATTGTGATAGAAATATTTTTCGCCTATATAATGTTCCCATGATTTTTCAAATTTTCTAACACTTGGCTTCACAGTCCTTTCAATTTCCTAAATCATTTATAGAAATTATTACATATCTTTTTTTCATACAGTATTTTGTTTTAAAAATTTTAACATCAAAGGCAAAATTACTATAATAATTTAGTTTTTTTTTAATGAACCTTTAATTAAAAATATACGAATTTTTTAAATACATATCTCTTGATTCCATTTTATTTTCACTTCTGTGTTAGCAATACAAAAAAGTAAAAAAAAACTTAAAACTGTCAATAATAACATTTTTTTTACGTGTATCCAGTTTAAAGGTTAACGAATTATAAAAAAAAGTCTTGGAAATTTTATTTACATTTACCCCAAGAACATATTTATGATTATTTTAATATCTTCTAATTAATATACATAATATTTTTTACACTAATTGGTAAAATTCTAATTATCTCTGTTCTGATAATTATTAATCTTTCTGAATAAACGTTAAAAATTACGCAAAACAGATAAAGTAACATGTATATTTTTATGCATTTAATCATAATACAAATTTTATTGACTTAATCGATTATCGTTTTTGGTGATGAAAACTTCTTTTAATTTGTGAATCTATATAAACAGTACCTATAATTGCTGCAATACATATTTATTTAAAAAATAATTAGTAACATTAATTATATTGAAATTTATAACTTGTTATTAATAGTAAAAAATATGTTAGAAATAAAAGTTAAAAATTTTCATATTAAAGTTTTTTTAATCGAGTAGACAGTAAAGAAATAGTAAATAATGATTCTTTTAATATTAATAAATTTTTTTTTAATATTTGTCTCGAGTACAATTTCACAGGAGACAGTGCAATGGAATTTAGACGTAAGTTTTTAAATAATTATAAAATCTATTTCGTTAGCACATTTATGATTAGAGAGAAAGTCAATTTCATCAAATGAATTAATCAATTTTGTTTGAAACAATTAAGCATTTTAATTTAATCAAAAAAATTTAGTTTATTGCAATAAAGGCATATTCATTAAAATAACTGAAATAAAATTCTTATTTAAAAGTGATTTTTCCGTATAACGAAAAAATTAAAATTTTTAAAAATTCAAAAATTAAAAACATTTAAAATTATAAATAAACCAAATAAGCTTAATAAAATAATTGATTTAAATCAAATAAATTTTTTACTTATAAGAAACAGATTTATTTTACATATAACTAAAATCCATTTTTTTAGACGACTACACGAATTGCCGTGCCTTTAGTTCGAGAATATTCGGAACCATGGACGAGTCGTACAATACAAAACCAATTCTCTCATTACAAAACTCATTTTGAGATAATAATTAAAGGAGGTACAACATTCAACCTAACGCTGGAAACTTCTTCTAAAACAGAAAATTTATATTTTTACTGTCTTGCTGATTCACCATATGAAAAATTAATCATATTAAATCTTGCGGGAGAAACAAATTTCACAAAAACTTTAACAACAAATTTTGATTGCGTGCCTATGGTATCTGTTTCAAATAATGTTCCACTACGAATAATAATTGAGACCAAAAACTGGTTATCATTGCCTATTTTCGATTCTAATGATGCATCACTTTTCGAATCAGAAGAATTTGAATCTAAATTTTACAAAAATATCCAAATTTACGGATTTGTTGAAAATTATTACACACAAATGTTATTATCGGTAAATGATATCAAAACTTTAAAGTCGCTAAACTATAGTCTATATCTTGGTTTGGAAAATCAGATTGATATCATTGAGTATTATGATTATTTAACTGGAATTAGTCCCTATTATAATGAAGATATTATATCATCATTAAAATTAATAGATCGAACAACAATATTTATACGTTCAGAAAAATGTAATGAAGATAATTCCACTACAGAAGAATATTTGACATCAACTTTTGAATGTGAGGACATATCTTTAAATTTTGTTGACTCTCTCGATGCATTCATATGTCCGGAGACAAATTTGAACCGTCATTTTATATCCACTATTAGTAATGTACAAAGATTTTTACAACCCAAAAAAGGATCTAGTTGGATTTTATTGCAAAAATTTGCTGAATACTACAACAGGAAAGAATTTGATATTAATTTTAGAGAAACATTTAATTTGTGGAATGATATGTTTGCAACTTTATATCATCAAAAATTTGTAATTAAAAATCCAATGTTACAATCAGCGTCTCCTTACAATTATAAGAAAATTTTAAATTATCAAATGGGAAATGACATTACAAAATGGAGTTACGAGGAAAAGTTAAATTTATTTGTGAGTCTATTCGGATATGATGGAACTGACACGAATTTACGTGAATTTCGTATTCGCCACAATCCTTACAATCAAATTACAACTAAAGATTCTGTTGACATAGTACCAACTATTCTTAAAATGTTTCTTGATCTTTACGATATAAATTTATTGCCGTTTTTGAAAAAAATCATCAAAGATATTTCATTAAATCCCGAATTAAAACTGCGACTTTTGAATGAACATCCTGTGATGCCTGCCATTGATTTTGGGATAAATCCTAAAGATTTGCGAGCTCTAAGCAAAGAACGTGATTTGAGACAAATTTCCCCTTTAATGTTGGGGACAAGAATGAAGAATACATATGTTAACGTTTTATTTATTATTGAATCGCCAATTGATCTTACAAATTGTTGTTTATATTTGAATAACGATTGTCACACTATTGTTGGAAAAAACATGACTATCAAATTATTGTCAGATGTTTATTCTATTTACGTAGCAGAAGTATTAAATGGAAACACCTATATAAGTGATGAAATTTATCATACAATTTCAAAGAATATGTTAATTATTGTCGATGTAAAAGAAATTCCAGAAAATCAAACATATTTACCCTTGATTCATTATAGATTTGATGCTCAAGGTCCTGATAATAGGTTATTTTTGGAAATATTTATAAATTACAAGGACATGACATTGATAATAAAACAATTAAGTAATGAAATATCAGAAAATAATTTATATTTTTTGCTACAATTAAAACGAAATGATACTAATGTTATGGAATATAAATTTCCAGATAAAATGCAAAATCAATTGCTAACAAATGCTGTGGAAAAATTTGAAATCAATGATGAAATACACATTTTTCATTGCGAACCCAATTTTTTAAAATTGAATTTGAATGGATATAATAATCCAGTGGAACAAAAAAATATTTTTCGTTTGACCAGTGTTGGTTTAGATGCAATTTCAAAGAAAATAGAAAATAATTTGAAATATGAATTTAATGCACTGAATCATGATGATATTTTATTTTTAAAAATATTTATAAACTACAATAATATGACAATTAAAATAAAGCAATTTAATGACGAAATTAACAAATATTATAAAAATGAATTATATTTTTCGTTTATTTTGGAAAGAAATGATACTTCTATTTTTAAATACAAATTTTTTGGTTCTCCACAAAATAATAAATCGCTTGTAAATGATATTAAGGATTTTAAGATTAATGATAAAATTCATATTTATCATACAGAATCACATCGTTTAATGTTAAATTTAGAGGGATATTTTAATGTAATTAGTAATAATTCCTTTATTTTGACAAATGAAGGTTTGCGAACAATTGTTTATAAAGACATAGAGATATACAATTTTTTGTCTATTTTGGCAAAAAAAAGTTTGCATAACTTTAATTACAGAGGAACAGAATTAAATAAATTAAATTATTCATTTGAAGCTTTACGTTATAGTGACAAGTTGTTTTTAAAAATATTTATAAATTACACGACTATGACAATAGAATTAAATCAGTTGATCAAAGATATTCATTGGAAGTTTAAATTATATTTTTCAATCAGTTTAGAACGAAATGGTGCTTCTATTTTTGAATATAAATTTTTTGGTACTCCTAAAAAAAATCAAAAACTTATTAATGTGATGGAGAAATTTAAATTTAATGATATAATTCGTATTTATCATGTCGAACCAAGTCGTTTAAAGTTAAATTTAGAAGGATTTCATAATAATTTAAAAAATAATTCTTTTCTTTTGTCAAATATTGGTATGCACAATGTTTTAAATAAACAGACAGAATTAATGTTAAGAGAAAATAAATTTTATGAAAATGAAACATTTTTACCGATTGTAGAATATGTTTTTGATGCTTTAGGTTTATATGATAGTTTATTTTTAAAAATATTTTTTAACTACAAAACAATGACAATTGAATTGAAACGATTTGGTAAAGAAATTCATAGGTTTTTTAAAAATAGTGAATTATATTTTTCAATGCGTTTAGAACATAAAGGTGTATATTATGCTGAATATAATTTTTTTGGCGGTTACCAACCGATAACAAATACTGTTGTGAATTTTGAGATTAATGATAGAGTGCATTTTTATCACGTAGAAGGTAATACACGTTTTAAGATGTATTTAGATGGATATTCTAATAGTGAATCACGTAATCATACTTTTGTTTTAACTGATGAGGGTTTGCGCGAAATTAATGATTTGAGTTTTAAAATAATTTCTTCGGATATTAAAAGAATTGATAAATTTAATTCAGAATACAATATAGATTTAAGTTACAATGCATTGTATCAAAATTATTTTGCAAATTATATTCGTACATTGCGTTTTAATGATTTGGAAGCTTACATCCCATTGAATTGGCTTTAAACGTCAAATTAATTAGGTCTAATGTAAATTGTTTGTCTAAATAATAGAAATTGTTGTATAATTGAGTGTTTTTTTTAAACAATATTAATAATTGAATTGTTAATTTATGTTTAAAGTGAATGTGAAATATACAATTTGAAATAAATATAAAAATTACAATTCTTTGTCAGATAGTTAATTTTTATATAAACACCTTCATATTTTTTCCAAACACTATACCAGATTATTTTGAATTTTATATTGCGATTTTCCAATTCGTAATTTTAGTATATTCAGTAAATAATAGATTTTTTAAAAGTTTATAAAATAATTTAAAGTAAAAAAATTAATTTTATAAATTTTTTAATAGTAAAATAGTAAGTAAATAATAAATGTAAAGCCTTTGGGTGTTTTTTAGAAAAAGTGATGATAAATATAAAATAAAAACAAATAAAAATTGTCAGAATATGGATCTTTCTTCACAGGACTAATAAATTTATAAATAAGAAACCAGATTTGTTGCTATTTATTACAAATTGTTACAAAGTAAATGATTATATATATATATAATACAAAACTTTTTAAATCCAAGACTTTGGAATGTATTTTTGCATCTTATTAAAACGTAACCTACGAATATAATGTGAAAAATAAATTTGATACAATGCATTATTACTTAACTCTATATTATAATTTGAATTAAATTCATCAATTCTTTTAATATCCGAAGAAATAATTCTAAAATCATTGTCTTTAACATTTTTTAAACCTACATTTGTCAGAACAAGAGTATTATGTTTTAATTTATTATATTTTTTCGAATTAAACATTAGACGACTTGGTTCTGCATGGAAAATATGAATTTTATCATTGGCTATAAATTTATGTGCTACATTTATAAGCTGTTCATTTTTCTGGGTGCCATTTAATTTGTAATCAAAAATAAAAGAACCATTTCGTTCTAAACTTATCGAAAAATATAATTCCTGTGGAAAATAATTATGAATTGTGCCAGAAAGTTGTTGTATTCCTATTGTCATAGTTTTAAAGTTTATAAATATGTTTAAAAAACGCCAGTCAGCAATACCTAGGGCATGAAATTCATAATACACTAATGGTAAAAATACACTATTTTGTGTAATTTCATTAACTATCAAATGAATTTTTGTTTCTTGCGAAATAATGTGATAGTCCATATCACTAATATAAAGTGTTCCATTTTTTTCTTTCGCTATAAAAATAGAATAAACATCAGACTGTAATTTAATATTCATTAGTTTTCCAGTAATATTGTGACAATTGTTATTCAAATAAAGACAAAAATTTCTTGGATCAATTGGTGATTCAATGGTAAAATTAACGTCGACATAATTTTTCTTCATTTTTCGCATTAACATTAAAGGTAAAGATTGCCGCCAATCTTTTTCTCTACTTTTGGCTGATAATTCTGTTGGCTTTACATTAAAATCAATAGCAGGCATTACTGGATGAGCAGATAAAAGTCGTAATTCTAAATCTAAATTAAAACTTTTAAAATTAATCACTTTTTTCAAAAATGGCAATAAATTTATATTGTAAAGATCGAAAAATACTTCTAAAATTAATGGAATTATGTAGTCCTTGTTGACATATTCTTTTGAATAGTAACGAATGTTAAATTCTCTAAATGCTTTATCAGTACCATCGTAGGCAAATAAATTCAAGAAAAATTGTAATTTTTCTTTATAATTCCACTTAGCAAAAGGAACATTATTTTGATAAACTGATACAAATTTTTTCTTATCTGATTCTGAAAATTTAAACCAATAATCCTTGGAATTAAATTTATTTTGATAGAATGCAGAAAAAATATTTGTCCATACTTCCAAAATTATTCCAAAATCAATTGTTTTAGTTTCAATATCATATGAATGTGCAAATTCGTGAATTAAAAGCCAGTTATTATTTCGAGTTGTAAACAAAACATGTGCTGATCCAAATGTAAATGATATCCAAAATGTTGAAGAAATTCCGGAAGTTTCAGGATGATTTTTTTCCGTGCGAAGGAAAACTCGTTGCTTGTCAATTAAAACAAATGAAATAAAATCATTTTTATCTACATATCGACTGGCAGCTGTTAAATAATTATAGTATTTTATTACATCCACTTGATTTTGCAATGCAATAAATAAACTCAAATTTTTTGATAATATTTCTTTAATATCGTTTGCTGACACTAACATTTGTGTATAATAATTTTCAACAAAACCATAGGTTTGAATATTTTTGTAAAATTCATGTTCAGCTTTGTGTGAGGTGAGAAAAGTTAAATTTCTCGAATCAAAAATAGGTAAATTTGTCCAATTTTTAGTTTTAATTTTTACCACCACTGGTACATTATATGAAACTGATAATAATGGAACGCAGTCAACATTTGTTGTAAATTCTATTGTACTATTTCTCTTTCCAGCAAAATCTTTTTTGATAAATTCTTCTGATATTTCAGTAGGACATAAAAATTTTAAATTTTCAACTGATTTTGAATTTTGAATTGTTACAGTAAAAGTTGTCCCTTTCCTAATTATTATTCCAAAATGACTTTTGTAATGATGTTTTGGGTTATAACAATAAGAACATTGATAATTATCCATTGATATTTGTAATTTTATAACAATTGGCTTCACAGTCCTTTCAATTTCCTAAAACATTTTTAGAAATTTTTATACATTTTTTAATTTTTAATTATAAAGTTTATCACTAAAAATATATGTACTGACTCTAAAAGCCATATTCCCGAATCATTCTACTATGATCAACGTTTGTTAAAATATATATATATATATATATATATATATATGTATATATATATATATATATATATATATATATATATATATATATATATATATATATTATAAAATAAATACATGAAAATTTATCGAAATATCTCGATGGTCGAAAAAATCGAATGTAAGAAAAAAATGAACTTTGCTTTCCAGAGCATCTAAATCAATATTCATTTTATAAAAATCACCTTAAATTATTGTTCCACATATATATTTTGCATAAGTTAATTAATTGTAATAAATATACACTTGCAAAGGATTTATTTGTTGTAAATATTTGCAGCTGTCATGGGGTGTTTTCGGCATTCACTAAGAGTTAACTCTAGAGTTAGCAGTGGTGCTCAAATGTAAATTTTGATTTTCAGTTCGTCTGTTGGTTGTGAACGTTGTTGATTGGCAATTTAGCATAGACGATTCATTTTGATTGGCACAGGGTTTGCAATTGTAACAACATGTGAAACGGGCCTTTTATTCTAGTAATGTAATGTTAAAATAAAAATTTGTTATTTCTAGATTTCATAAAAGTCCCCAAAAATTTATTACTAGATGACCCAGAGTTAACTCTGTTTTCTTGCGAGAGTAAAGAAAAAGGGTCAGTCCTAACCTTTAATGGCCGACAAAATTTGTGAACGGATTGTTTGTTTTGAAAAGTGTAAATTGAAACATAATAATTTATTTTTATTAAAAATTATTTTAACTTTTTATTTATAAAAAACAACTTTAATTAAAATAAATAATCTAGTTTCTAAAACAATTCAGATTAATTAAAGTTAGGGAAATAATGAAAAATTTGAAAATTATAAACTTTAAAAAAATAACACGTTTATGGGTAGCAAAAATATGTTCCATTTTTAAATGAAAAACAAAAAATTCGTATAAATTAAAAAAAAGTAAGCAAACAAGGACAACTAACTTCAAACTCAGGGTGATGAAAATAGAAAATCAATTATTTTATTTAGGTAAATAAATTTTCAAAGATAATATCATTGAGCACCACTGTTAACTCTAGAGTTAACTCTGAGTGAATGCCGAAAACACCCATGAATCAGACACGAACATAACCTACATTTAGTTGAAATCACTTCATTGGCCCAAGACAAAATAGTGCGCGCTTTTTTAAAATTATGAAATTTATTATAAATTATAATAAAATAATTGTAATAAATTAAATTATTATGAAAATAATATTACCTCCCGTGTGGAAATTGAAAAATGGTCCTAACTTGGTCCTATCTAGTTTGCCGTTTTATTATCTAGGTCCTATCTTAGCAGTCTAACTTGGTCCTAAAATGGTTGGTGATGCGATTTTAGCCTGGTCCTAATTTGGGTGCCTATTTAGGACCAATATAAGGGTCCTTTTTAGGTCCTAGATAGGACCAGCTTTTTTAAAATTCACATAATTTTAATTGGATTAATTATTTGTTAATAAATTTTGATAACTATAGTTCTCTTCGATATAAAATCAATAGAGCATGATTCAAGTTCTCGCAAACTTCGTTGAATTCTTTTGAATTTCTCATTTCTAACACGATTTTCTTCTTTTCCAATCTGATCTCGCTCCATTGTCATTAATGTGACTGGATTTATATTTTCATTTAACTGTATTTTATTAACACTCATCAATAAACAAGCAGAATTACATTGCACTTTTTACACAAGAACTTAACCTCTAAATAACTTCTGCTTATAGTTTCGTTCATTTCGTCTGCTAGGGTTGAAAAAGTAGGGAAAAAAAATTCAAATTAAATGTAACCCTTCTCATTTTGTTTAATATAAATTTAATTAATAATTAATTAAAATTTTTAAAAAACTATGGTATATTTTTATTTTTTTATTATTTTTATTATTGTATTTATATATTTTTTTTATTATTTTATTATTATAATTATATTATTGTTATAATATTATTATTAATTATAATTAATAATGCCAAAATACTCCGATATTACTAAAATGGCTTGTAAAAGGAGGACCAAGTTAGGACCAAATTAGGAAATATTAACATTTTCTGCCAAGTTAGGACCAGCTTAGGGCCAATTATCATTTTAGGCATACCTTGGGGATTTCTATTCGGGCTTGAATAAAAAAGTGTTTTTAGTTTAAAAAAAAAATTATTCAACAATTATTATTATTTTTAGACAAATTTTACAAATATAACAGATTATTAATTTTATCTTTGAAACTTTCACTATAATTACATGCCTTTTTGCAATTTGTTAACAATATTATTAAATATTTAATAAAATAATTGCCGTCGGAGGCGCTAGTTTAAAATAATTCAAAAAATAATAATTTATTTTTGCCTATAAAATTTTCTTTTAAAAATTGTTCATAGAGAAATGTTTTGCAAAAATTTGTTGAGACAAAAAATTATAATAATTTAAACCGTACAAAATTTACCGACGTGTTTTATGTATGTTTTTACATATTTTCAAAAAATAAAATTCATAAGTAGAAAAATCATTTTTTCATACCAAAAAATTTACAATTTTTTCCAAATTTTGGATATAAAAAATTTATAATAATACATACAGTATAATTTAAAAAAAAAACTAACATGAAAAAGTAAATGACTAAATTAATTTAACTTTTTTAATAAACCTTTAACTAAAAATATCCCAACTTTTTAAATACATACCTCTTCATTCCACTTTATTGATAGTTCTGTTTTAGCAATATAAAAGAGTAGAAAGAAACTTAAAATTTTAAATATTAACATTTTTTACGTGTATCCAATTTAAATGTTGGTGAATTATAAAAAAAAACTTGGAAACTTTAAATTATATTTGATTCAACAATACAGTTATAATTATGTCAATATCTTACAATTTATGTAAAACCCAATTCTACGCTAATTTATGAAATCCCAATTACCTTTATTCAAATAATTATTAATTGTTCAGCAGAAATATAATAAATGAGATTAAATAAATAAAGTGACCTAAATATTTTTGTGTATTCAATGATAATAAAAATTCCATTCCTTTAATTTATTTTCGTTTTGAATGATGAAAACCTTGTTTAATTTAACATTCATATATAAACAGTTAAACATAGAAAATTAAATGATTTGCATAATAGATACGAATTACACTAAAATTGATGCAACATATATTTATTTATCAAATAATTATATATGTAAATTCACAGCATTTTATTTAAATGTAAAATATAAATACGAAATAAAAGTTAAAAAATTTTCATATTGAAGCTTTTATAATTGAGTACAGACACTAAAGAAATAGTAAATAATGATTTTTTTAATATTAATAAAATTATTTTTGATATTTGTCTCGGATACAATTTCACAGGAGACAGTGCAATGGAATTTAAATGTAAGTTTCTAAATAATTAAAAATAATTAAAAAATCTACAATAGTACGTATGTATTTTTTACATAATAGATAAATTTATCTTTTAGACAACTACACGAACTGTTGAGCCTTTAGTTCGAGAAATTTCCGAACCATGGACGAAATACATAATTCAAAATCAATTATTCCACTATAAAACTCATTTCGAAATAATAATTAAACAAGGTACAACATTTAATTTAACAGTAGAGACAGCTTCTGAAATAGAAAATTTATATTTTTACTGTCTTGCTGATTCACCATATAAAAAATTAATCATATTAAATCTTGCGGGAGAAACAAATTTCACAAAAACTTTAACAACAAATTTTGATTGCGTTCCTATGGTATCTGTTTCAAATAATGTTCAATTACGGATGATAATTAAGACCAAAAACTGGTTATCATTGCCAATTTTTGATTCTAATGATGCATCACTTTTCGAATCAGAAAAATTTGAGTCGGAATTTTACAAAAATGTTCAAATTTATGGATTTGTTGAAAATTATTACACACAAATGTTATTATCGGTAAATGATATCAAAACTTTAAAGTCGCTAAACTATAGTCTATATCTTGGTTTGGAAAATCAGATTGATATCATTGAGTATTATGATTATTTAACTGGAATTAGTCCCTATTATAATAAGGATATTGTATCATCATTAAAATTAATAGATCGAACAACAATATTTATACGTTCAGAAAAATGTAATGATGATAATTCCAGTACAAAAGAAGATTTGGCATCATTTTTTAATGATGATGACATATATTTTAATATTGTAGACGCTTTCGATGCATTTATATGTCCGGAGACAAATTTGAACCGTCATTTTATATCAGCTATTAATAATTTAGAAAGATTTTTACAAACCAAAAAAGGCTCTAGTTGGATTTTATTGCAAAAATTTGCTGAATACTACAACAGGAAAGAATTTGATATTAATTTTAGAGAAACATTTAATTTGTGGAATGATATGTTTGCAACTTTATATCATCAAAAATTTGTAATTAAAAATCCAATGTTACAATCAGCGTCTCCTTACAATTATAAGAAAATTTTTAATTATCAAATGGGAAATGACATTACAAAATGGAGTTACGAGGAAAAGTTAAATTTATTTGTGAGTCTATTCGGATATGATGGAACTGACACGAATTTACGTGAATTTCGTATTCGCCACAATCCTTACAATCAAATTACAACTAAAGATTCTGTTGACATAGTACCAACTATTCTTAAAATGTTTCTTGATCTTTACGATATAAATTTATTGCCGTTTTTGAAAAAAATCATCAAAGATATTTCATTAAATCCCGAATTAAAACTGCGACTTTTGAATGGACATCCTGTAATGCCGGCCATTGATTTTGGAATAAATCCTAAAGATTTACAAGCTCTGAGCAAAGAACGTGATTTGAGACAAATTTCCCCTTTAATGTTGGGGACAAGAATGAAGAATACATATGTTAACGTTTTATTTATTATTGAATCGCCAATTGATCTTACAAATTGTTGTTTATATTTGAATAACGATTGTCACACTATTGTTGGAAAAAACATGACTATCAAATTATTGTCAGATGTTTATTCTATTTACGTAGCAGAAGTATTAAATGGAAACACCTATATAAGTGATGAAATTTATCATACAATTTCAAAGAATATGTTAATTAATGTCAATGTAGAAGAAATTCCAGAAAATCAAACACATTTTCCCTTGATTCATTATAAATTTGATGCTCAAGGTCCTGATAATAGGTTATTTTTGGAAATATTTATAAATTACAAGGACATGACATTGATAATAAAACAATTAAGTAATGAAATATCAGAAAATAATTTATATTTTTCGCTACAATTAAAACGAAATGATACTAATATTATGGAATATAAATTTCCAGATAAAATGCAAAATCAATTGCTAACAAATGCTGTGGAAAAATTTGAAATCAATGATGAAATACACATTTTTCATCGCGAACCCAGTTTTTTAAAATTGAATTTAGAAGGATATAATAATCCAGTGGAACAAAATAATATTTTTCGTTTGACCAGTGTCGGTTTAGATGCAATTTTAAAGAAAATGGAAAATAATTTACAATATGAATTTTATGCAATAGGTCATTATGATGTTTTATTTTTAAAAATATTTATAAACTACAATAATATGACAATTAAAGTAAAACAATATGATGGCCAAATTAACTGGGGTTATATAGATAAATTATATTTTTCTTTCATTTTAGAAAGAAATGATACTAACATTTTTGAATATAAATTTTTTGGTTCTCATCTAAAGAATCTATCGTATGTAAATGATGTTAATGATTTTAAGATTAATGATAAAATTCATATTTTTCATGCGGAATCACATCGTTTAATGTTAAATTTAGAGGGATTTAATAATGTAATAAGTAATAATTCATTTATTTTGACACATGAAGGATTGCAAACGTTCGATTACAATGGAACATATGCGAAAGAATTAAGTTTAAAAGAAAATAAAATCTCTGAAACTAAAATATTTTTTCCAATAGTACAATATGGTTTTCATGTTCTGGGTTTTAATGATGCGTTATTTTTAAAAATATTTATAAATTACAAGAGTATGACAATAGAATTAAACCAAATCAGTGATCAAATTCACAGTTATTTTAAAAATGATGAACTATATTTTTCACTAAGTTTAGAACGAAAACGTTCTTCTATTCATGAATTTAAATTTTTTGGTGGTGAGCAACCAATTAAAAATTCTGTCGTGGATTTCAAGATTAATGATATAGTACATTTTTATCACGCAGAACCTGGTCGCTTTAAGATATATTTAGAAGGATATTATAGTTCAAAAGCAAATAATAATAGTTTTGTATTAACGGATGATGGTTTACGCCACATTAATGACTTGAATGATAAAATAATTTCAGCGGATGTTAAAAGAATTGATAAATTTAATTCAGAATACAATATAGACCTAAGCTATAATGCATTGTATCAAATTTATTTTGCAAACTATAATCGTACACTGCGGTTTAATAATTTGGAACGGTACATTCCATTGAATTGGGATTAAGGATTAGAATTAAGAAAACTTAAATGTAAATTATAATTCTGTTTATTGTATTAGTGTGTTTTATTTAACAATATTAATAATATGATTGTTTTATTCTACTTCCTTTATATTTCATTGTGGAAATAATCATAATGTTATTTTATATATTACTTAAAGTTAAATGTAAACTTTTTAAATTTATTAAATTAATTCTTCACTTATATTTTACTATAGCAATTTATTTAATGAAAAACAAATATTTTTAATAAAATTTAATAAATTTTTTAAATCTTAAAGCAATAATGAGGCGGGTGTAAAAAAATTATGAATCCTTGAAAAATCTATTAAAAAATTAATAAAATTTAATTTGATAAACTATGAAGAAGCTCTAAAGCAAATTTTTTAGAATTATCATTTGATAGAATCTTATTCTGTAAAATATTATTTTTGCAGAATATTAAATTGTTAAAATATTAATTTTGGAGAATTTTTTTTTTAAATGAAAATTAATTTATCTTCATTTAAAATTCTATAACATTACTATATTTGAGGAAATAAATATTATGGAAAATTAATATATTTTGTTTAATATTTTTTCTACTAAATTAATATTATACGAAATTAATATTCTATACAAGACAATATTTCGAAACAAATTAATATTCGAAAAATTTAATTTCTTGCAAATTCATTTTGGTGTAAATCAAAATTCTGCAACATTGATGATCGGTTTAGTGAAAATTCTGCAAAATTAGCATTTTTAAATAAATTTAATATTCTGCAAAAATAATTTTCTACAGAATAAGATTCTATTAAATGATAATTCTAAAAAATTTGCTTTAGAGTTTCTTCATTCATTTCGGTGCATTTCATGTATTTCGGTTAAATAAAATTTTTGTCACATGTTAATTTTGCAATATTCATGCGCCTCTTTTTATGTTTAGAGTTGTTAAATAATAAATTTTTATTATTGTTTGACAAAGCGATATTTTTTCAAGAATACATTTTTTTACACGTGCCTCTTTATTGCTTTAAAATTTTTATTTTATTAAAAATATTTTTTTTCATTAAATAAATTGTTATAGTAAAATAGGGGTATAGAAATCACAGTTGAAAAATAAAAATTTTTTGAGCTATAATGCGTGTTTTTTTTTATTTTAGATTTAATAATAAAATATCTTTCTGTTTAAATTATTATAATTTTTTGTTTAAAAAATTTTTTGCAACATTTCTCGATATGCAAAGAGTCGTTGAAATTTACAACGTATACGAATGTGATAACATATTATTATTCATAAAATTTTTTACATAACTAAAACTAATTTAAGTATAGTTTTATGAAAAAAAAACAATAAAAAAAAAGAAATTGTATAGTGTTATCGGCTAAATTTTATATATTTATGGTTTTCATTATTTTCATATAGTATATAACCAATGTTAGATGTTTTCAAGTTCGTTTCCGAAAAAAATTGAAAAAAACATGAAGTATTTAAAAATAGTTCTGTTAATTGTTATAATTTTTAATGGTAAGAATATACTAATTATTTATTTACTTATAACATAATCAAAGATCCTATGGCTGTATATAGAATCGCTTGTAAAGGTACAAGTAGACTACCGTCGAGAAATGAGCGACCTCTATTTTTTTATGATTTTAAAATGGCTTAAATCTTAAAAAATAATAAATTTAAATTTTTTTCCTTCACTGAGAGAAATGGATAGTAAGAATTTGATAGTAAAAAGAAAGATTCTAGAATCTACTATCAACATTTTACTATCCAAGATGTTACCCAAAGACGTAAAATATGTTAGCTTTTGGATTGTAGTCACTACTATCAAATATTGTAAAAATTAAATGTGAGCGCATGCGCTGATTGTGGTGTATACTTCGCCTATTCAATTGCGGTCCTTGTGTTTTCACGCACGTGTTTATATATAGTGAAAAAAGTTGTGAATAAAAAATGGACGAGTTTGTTAAAAATTTATTAATGTCGTTGAATATGGAATCTTTGATTCCATCTTTTGGAGGTAGGTTTATTATTTTGATTGAATTAGCGAAGACTGAAGTGTGAACGTGTTTATAACCTCAAAACAATTTTGCGTTGTTTAGACGGTGAAATTGATGAAGAATCGTTTTACTTACTGGACAATGATACAATATCACTCATTATACCAAAACCAGAACCTCGCTTAAAATTTTTTAAAAAATTTCAAGATTACAAAAATCAAGTAAGTTTTTTTTTCGTTTGTATAAATGTACATGTGTTTATTGAAATTTTTTTTTGGAAAAAAAACTTTTTCATATTTTTTCTTACTTTTTTTAAACTTAAAAATTAGTAAAATAATACAAATTCAATTGACTCTGTGAAAAAAATATACCGTTTGATAAATATATTTATGTTTAAGCAAGTCCTTTTTATAGACGGAGTGAAAAAATAGACATACTCTTTTTTATGTAAAAAGTTTAAAGTTTAAATTCTTATCGAAATGTCTTATTAAAATAAAATGAAATTATTTAAGTTTACAAAAAAAGCGAGGTTAGGTTCGTGTATATTTGCCACTCGAGAACGTAAAGAGATCGTATAAAATTTTTAACATCAAAAATTGTAAATTGTACAATCAAATTTCTATAATCATCTGATAGTAAATGCTACAATCTATATCGCTGTCTGTATATTTAGCACTAAATATGGTTGCCCTTAACATCATTATGTTACCCAGTAGCATAAATTTCTCTCCGTGTTTTTATTTACTTTCCTTTTCTTTATAAACTAATAAAATTCTCAAAGAAAAGGTACCTCCGCAAAGAAAATACGTAAATTTTTCAATTTTATATATCTAAGAAAAACTCAATCTTTAGTTCTTAAGGCCAGGTCCAAGTGAGGCAGCGCCATGTACATTGAAACTAAAATTTTGGAAAATTTTCAACAGCTTTTTCTTGAAAACGAGAAGGTAAAATGCTTTTTCCTTTATGGATAATTAGTTATTGGCAAGATATACACCAACTAAAACTTTTTTTGAGTTAAAATAATAAAAAAAATTTCATGTCAATAAATTAAATATGAGCACTTTTTTCACAAAAACTGTAACAGTACTTTCTCAGAAATTACAATCAAAAATGCAATTTCCATTTGGAAAATTAATAAACGCTAAGAAATACACGACCTAAGATTTACCAATGACGAAAATAACAAAAAAAAAGTATTTTAACATAACATATTTTACTCATTATGACAGCCGTTTGGCAGGTTATATATGTCACCAGACGTTTCGCAGTTTTGCCGAAAGGAGAAGATTGGCGCTGTTGCTAACCACCTGAAATACATAATCTACCAAAGGGCTGTCACAATCAGTAAAGGTATCAATATATGTTAAATATTTAATAAAATTTTTTTTTGTTATTTTCGTGATTGGTAAATCTTAGGTCATGTATTTTTTAGCGTTTATTAATTTTCCAAATGGAAATTGCATTTTTGATTGTAATTTCTGAGAAAGTACTATTACAGTTTTTGTGAAAAAAGTGCTCATATTTAATTTATTGACATGAAATTTTTTTTTATTATTTTAACTCAAAAAAAGTTTTAGTTGGTGTATATCTTGCCAATAAGCAATTATCCATAAAGGAAAAAGCATTTTACCTTCTTGTTTTCAAGAAAAGGCTGTTGAAAATTTTTCAAAATTTTAGTTTCAATGTACATGGCGCTGCCTCACTTGGACCTGGCCTTAATTTGAAAATTTAACTAAAACAGTTGCAAAATATATTTATTTAATAAATAATTATAAATTCACATTTTTTTATTACAATGTAAAATATGTATAAGAAATAAAAGTTAAAAATTTTTATATTGAAGTTGTTATAATCAAGTAGATACAAAGAATTAGTAAATAATAATTTTTTTTAATAATTAATAAAATTATTTATGATATTTGTCTCATTTACAGTTTCACAGGAGACAGTGCAATGGAATTTAAATGTAAGTTTCTAGATAATTAAAAACCTACAATAGCACCCCTGGCGGATTGCATGATGCGAATGCTCCACGAAATTGTCGGATGTTGATATTGAAATTTTGTCTAAAATGTATAAAAAAAAATAATGAAATTGATATTTTAATGATTAAAATCATTAAGTTTTATGAATGTTACGATGATTATTGATTTATTGATGATAAAAAAATTTTTTTTTACCAATATTTTTTATTAATATATTAATTTTTTTGACAAAATTATACATTTTTTTCACCATTATTTCCGTTTAAAATTAATTTTTTCAACTTTTTTTTTGATAAAAAAATTAATTTTTTTACCAATATTTTTTATTAAATTATTAATTTTTTGCTACAATAATACATTTTTTTTACCAATATTACCCTTTAACAAATAAGAGTTTTGCTTTTGATAAAAAAAATGCAGAAAAAATTTAATGTGGGGGTTGGCCAATGGATGTCTCTGCCATTGGTCAATACCCATGTGCTCTCTCACAAGTGTAGATGTTGCTTGGCGTGTAGCATATATACACGATCCAACTCTCACTTCCCCATGGTCGTATAAGGCAGGTTTCCCACTACGCAGCCTTACTGATGAGTCCAGTAGTGGGGACCGGGACGAAACGACTAGTGGCTTCCAAGCCACGCTTATGGGTAACAACACAGTTGTTCCCATATTAAAGAAAAGAGTACTGCCACCTATCTGCTAAAAAGCGCTGCTGCATTGATTTCATCGACAAATGTTGGTGATAAACTGTTATAGATTGAAATTAATAGAAATATTAAATTTTTATAATTATTATTACAATAATCATCATAACATTCATAAAACTTAATGATTTTAATCATTAAAATATTAATTTCATTATTTTTTTTATACATTTTAGACAAAATTTCTTTATCGACATCCGACAATTTCGTAGAGCATTCGCATCATGCATATACATATATTTTTTATATTAGAGATAAATTCATCTTTTAGATGACAACACGAATTGCCGAGCCTTTAGTTCGAGAAATTTCCGAACCATGGACGAAGTACATAATTCAAAATCAATTATTCCACTATAAAACTCATTTCGAAATAATAATTAAACAAGGTACAACATTTAATTTAAAGGTGGAGACACCATCAAAAATAGAAGATTTATATTTCTACTGTCTTGCTGATTCACCGTATGAAAAATTAATTATATTAAATCTCAAGGGAGAAGAAAATTTCACAAAAAATTTAACAGCAAATTTTGATTGTGTGCCTATGGTATCTGTATCAAATAATGTTCCACTAAGAATGATAATTAAAACTGAAAACTGGTTATCATTGCCAATTTTTGATTCTAATGATGCATCACTTTTCGAATCAGAAGAATTTGAGTCTGAATTTTACAAAAATGTCAAAATTTACGGATTTGTTGAAAATTATTACACACAAATGTTATTATCGGTAAATGATATTAATACTTTAAAGTCGTTAAACTATAGTCTATATCAAGGTTTAGAAAATCAGATTGATGTCATAGAGTATTATGATTATTTAACTGGAATCAGTCCCTATTACAATGGAGATATTGTACCATCATTGAAATTTATAGATCGAACAACCATATTTGTTCGTTCAGAAAAATGTAGTGAAAAAAATTTCAATACAGAAGAAAAGGCATCCATTTTTAAATGTAATAACACATCTTTAAATTTTGTTGACTCTTTCGATAAAATAATATGTCAGGAGACAAATTTGAACAGTCATTTTATATCAGCTATTAATAATTTAGAAAGATTTTTACAAACCAAAAAAGGCTCTAGTTGGATTTTATTGCAAAAATTTGCTGAATACTACAACAGGAAAGAATTTGATGTTAATTTTAGAGAAACATTTAATTTGTTGAATGATATGTTTGCAACTTTATATCATCAAAAATTTGTAATTAAAAATCCAATGTTACAATCAGCGTCTCCTTACAATTATAAGAAAATTTTAAATTATCAAATGGGAAATGACATTACAAAATGGAGTTACGAGGAAAAGTTAAATTTATTTGTGAGTCTATTCGGATATGATGGAACTGACACGAATTTACGTGAATTTCGTATTCGCCACAATCCTTACAATCAAATTACAACTAAAGATTCTGTTGACATAGTACCAACTATTCTTAAAATGTTTCTTGATCTTTACGATATAAATTTATTGCCGTTTTTGAAAAAAATCATCAAAGATATTTCATTAAATCCCGAATTAAAACTGCGACTTTTGAATGAACATCCTGTGATGCCTGCCATTGATTTTGGGATAAATCCTAAAGATTTGCGAGCTCTAAGCAAAGAACGTGATTTGAGACAAATTTCCCCTTTAATGTTGGGGACAAGAATGAAGAATACATATGTTAACGTTTTATTTATTATTGAATCGCCAATTGATCTTACATATTGTTGTTTATATTTGAATAACGATTGTCACACTATTGTTGGAAAAAACATGACTATCAAATTATTGTCAGATGTTTATTCTATTTACGTAGCAGAAGTATTAAATGGAAACACCTATATAAGTGATGAAATTTATCATACAATTTCAAAGAATATGTTAATTAATGTCAATGTAGAAGAAATTCCAGAAAATCAAACACATTTTCCCTTGATTCATTATAAATTTGATGCTCAAGGTCCTGATAATAGGTTATTTTTGGAAATATTTATAAATTACAAGGACATGACATTGATAATAAAACAATTAAGTAATGAAATATCAGAAAATAATTTATATTTTTCGCTACAATTAAAACGAAATGATACAAATATTATGGAATATAAATTTCCAGATAAAATGCAAAATCAATTGCTAACAAATGCTGTGGAAAAATTTGAAATCAATGATGAAATACACATTTTTCATCGCGAACCCAGTTTTCTAAAATTGAATTTAGAAGGATATAATAATCCAGTGGAACAAAAAAATATTTTTCGTTTGACCAGTGTCGGTTTAGATGCAATTTTAAAGAAAATAGAAAATAATTTACAATATGAATTTTATGCAATAGGTAATAATGATGTTTTATTTTTAAAAATATTTATAAACTACAATACTATGACAATTAAAGTAAAGCAATTTAATGACGAAATTAACAAATATTATAAAAATGAATTATATTTTTCGTTTATTTTGGAAAGAAATGATACTTCTATTTTTAAATACAAATTTTTTGGTTCTCATCTAAAGAATCTATCTTATGTAAATGATGTTAATGATTTTAAGATTAATGATAAAATTCATATTTTTCATGCGGAATCACATCGTTTAATGTTAAATTTAGAGGGATTTAATAATGTAATAAGTAATAATTCATTTATTTTGACACATGAAGGATTGCAAACGTTCGATTACAATGGAACATATGCGAAAGAATTAAGTTTAAAAGAAAATAAAATCTCTGAAACTAAAATATTTTTTCCAATAGTACAATATGGTTTTCATGTGCTGGGTTATCATGATGTGTTATTTTTAAAAATATTTATAAATTACAAGAGTATGACAATAGAATTAAATCAAATCAGTGATCAAATTCACAGTTATTTTAAAAATGATGTACTATATTTTTCACTAAGTTTAGAACGAAAACGTTCTTCTATTCATGAATTTAAATTTTTTGGTGGTGAGCAACGAATTAAAAATTCTGTCGTGGATTTCAAGATTAATGATATAGTACATTTTTATCACGCAGAACCTGGTCGCTTTAAGATATATTTAGAAGGATATTATAGTTCAAAAGCACATAATAATAGTTTTGTATTAACGGATGATGGTTTACGCCACATTAATGACTTGAATGATAAAATAATTTCAGCGGATGTTAAAAGAATTGATAAATTTAATTCAGAATACAATATAGACCTAAGCTATAATGCATTGTATCAAATTTATTTTGCAAATTATAATCGTAAACTGCGGTTTAATAATTTGGAACGGTACATTCCATTGAATTGGGATTAAGGATTAGAATTAATAAAACTTAAATGTAAATTATAATTCTGTTTATTGTATTCGATTGTATTAGAGTGTTTTATTTAACAATATTAATAATATGATTTTTTTATTCTACTTCCTTTATATTTCATATTGTGGAAATAATCATAATGTTATTTTATATATTACTTAAAGTTAAATGTAAACTTTTTAAATTTATTAAATTAATTCTTCATTTATATTTTACTATAACAATTTATTTCATGAAAAAAAAATATTTTTAATAAAATATAATCATGCCGAACCGTAGCGCTTTGTTTTTTAATTTGAAAGGATTTCATAATAATAAAGAAAATAATTCTTTTCTTTTATCAAATATCGGTATGCAGAATATTTTAAATAAACAAACAGAATTAATTTTAAAAGAAAAGGAAATCTCTGAAAATGAAATATTTATACCTATTTTAAATTATGCCTTTGATGATCTTGATAATGATGACAGATTATTTTTGAAAATATTTTTTAACTACAAATCTATGACAATTGAATTAAAACAATTTGGTAGTGCGAGTAATAGTTATTTTAAAAATAATGAATTAAAGTTTTCATTGGAATTAGTACGAAATGGTTCTTCTGTTTTTAATTATAAATATTTTGGCGGTAATCAAATGTTTAATTATAGTGATGTTAATTTTAAAATTAATGATCGAGTACATTTTTAGCATGTAGATCCTAAACGTCTTAAGATATATTTAGAGAGAAATAATAATAGAGAAGCACGTGATCATACTTTTGTTTTAACAAATGAGGGTTTGAGGCAAATTAATGAGTTGAATCTTAAAATAATTTCTGCGAATATCGAAAGAATTGATAAATTTAATTCAAAATACAATATCGACTTAAGCTACAATGCATTGTATCAATATTATTTTGCACATTATATACGTACATTGCAATTTAATAATTTGCAACCTTATATTCCATGAAATTGGTATTAAAGAACAGATTAATTATCTTTAATCTAAATTGTCACCTAATTTAGTTTAAAAATTTATTTGTAAAAATTCTAATTCATGAGCATTTAATTTGTATTCTATCTACTTAAAGGATTCAGAATACAATATCAACTTAATCTACAATTCATTGTATCAACATTATTTTGCAAATTATATTTGTACATTGAGGTTTAATAATTTAGAATTGTATATTCCATGGAATTTGAATTAAGAATTTAAATTAATATTACTCAAATGTGAATTATAATTATATTTATTGTAATAGAGTGCTTTTTGAACAATATATAATATATGTGAAATAAATATAATTTTTTTTTCGAATTGCTTTATATTCTAATGTATAAATAATCATAATTTTTTATGCAGGTAAATTTTACTAACTTTGATATAAAATTTTATTTAAATTATGCCATGTTGAATAATTAAATAACATGAAATGCAATTAATTTTAATTGATACACATATTGGAAGTAACATCAATATTTTTGTTTTATTAAAAAAAATATTCTATTGATTTAATATATTCGTCATTAATTAACGTCATAGAATATAAAATTTCTGTTAATTTTTAAACAATTGTGTAAACAGTAAAAACTAGAAATGATTATTTCTGCGTCTAATATTTTATATAAAAAAAAAATTTTTAATTTATTCTTGCGTTTATTATATAAAGGGTACAAATATACGTCACAACATGTATACTTTTATTGACTTTTTGCTAAAACAATTCTATTGATTTAATATTATCGTCATTGATTAACGTCATCAATTATAAATGTTCCGTTGATTTTTACACCTATGAACTATATAAGAAGTAAAAATTAACTAATTTTTTTTATCGAAGTTGTTAAACGAGTAGTTTACTCGTGTAATAGTAAATCATGATTTCGTTAATATTCATAAAATTGCTTCTAATATTTGTATCGAGTACAATTTCACAGAAAACAGTGCAATGGAATTTGAACGTAAGTTTTAAGAATATAAATTAAAAGATAAATCTAACACTTTTTGCATATAACTTATAAATTCATCTTTTAGATAACTACACGAACTGTCGAGCCTTTAATTCGAGAAATTTCCGAACCATTGACCAGTGAAAAAATTAAAAATCAAATTTTCCAGTTTAAAACTCATTTTGATATAATAATTAAACAAGGTACAACATTTAATTTAACGGTAGAGACACCATCAAAAATAGAAGATTTATATTTCTACTGTCTTGCTGATTCACCATATGAAAAATTAATTATATTAAATCTTGCGGGAGAAACAAATTTCACAAAAACTTTAACAACAAATTTTGATTGCGTTCCTATGGTATCTGTTTCAATAAATGTTCCAGTACAAATGATAATTGATACCAAAAACTGGTTATCATTGCCAATTTACAATTCTAATGATGTATCACTTTCAACATCACAAGAATATGAGTCTGAATTTAACAAACATGTACAAGTTTATGGATTTGTTCAAAATTATTATATACAAATTTTATTGTCAGCAAATGATATTAATAATCTAAAATTGCTTAATTATAGTTTATATAATGATTTGAAAGGACAGATTAATTTAATACAGTATGCTGATTATTTAGCTGGATTGAATGACAATACAGATAAATATAAAGAACCTTTTATGAGACTAATGGATAGAACAACATTTTTTGTACGTTCAGAAAAATGTAACAATGATAATTCTACACAAGTATCGTCACAATCAATTTTACAAAGTGATAATAAATCTTTTAATTCTACAAACAATGAAACTACACATAAATGTCCTGAGACAAATATAAACCGTCATTTTATTTCTGCTATTAATTATGGAATAAATCTTAAAAATTTGCAACTTAAGAACGTGACTGAAGATTTAAAACCTGATTCTCCTTTGATGGAAAAAATTAATAAAACGGTTAATGTCACTTTTATCATTGAATCACCAATTGATTTAACAAATTTTTGTCTATATTTGAATAACGATTGTCACACTATTTTTGGGAAAGTCATGAACATCGAATTATTGCCAAATGTTTATTTAGTTTATATATCAGAAAAAATTCATGGCAATAAGTACATCAGTGACGTAATGAAATATAACATTTCACAAATTATGTCAATTAATGTTGAAGTAAATGAAATTAAAAAAAAAATTTCACACAAAAAAGAAAATAACGAAACTGAATTAAATAATTTTAATTATACATTTGATGCTTTAGGTCTTTCTGATTACGTATTTTTAAAAATATTTATAAATTACAAGAACATGACAATAGAATTAAAGCAGTTGATCAAAAATATTCATGGATATTATGATTTATATTTTTCAATAAGTTTAGAACGAAATGGTTCTTCTATTTTTGAATATAAATTTTTTGGTATTCCTGAAAATGATCAAAAGCTTATTAAAATTGTAGAGAAATTTCAGTATAATGATATAATTCATATTTTTCATGCCGAACCAGATCGTTTAAATTCAAATTTGGAAGGATTTAAAAGTGAAGAACAAAACAATAATTTTCTATTGTCAAATAAAGGTTTGCAAATCATTAAAGACAACGAAACAGAATTAAATTATTTAAAATATTCATTCAATGCTTTAAGTCTTAATGATAGGATATTTTTAAAAATATTTATAAATTACAAAACTATGACAATAGAATTACAACAATGGGTAAAATATGTTCATGGGTATTTTAATTTATATTTCTCTATCAGTTTAGAACGAAATGGTTCTTCTATTTTTGAATATAAAATCTTTGGTAATCCAAAAAAAAATCGAAAGCTTATTAAAGTGATAGAGAAATTCCAGTACAATGATATAATTCATATTTATCATGCTGAACCAGGTCGTCTAAAGTCAAATTTGAAAGGTTTTAATGCTAAATCAAAAAATAATAATTTTCTTCTTGCTGATAATGGTTTGCAGACCATTAATTAGCTAAAAAACAGAATTAAATAATTTAAAATATTCATGTTGTGTTATGATGATATAGGGTATATTTTTGAAAATATTTTTCAATTAGAAAACTATAAAAATAGAATTAAAACATTAATGAAATGAGTATTAAAATAATTTTTTTTTGGTTGTAATGAAAATGTTAAATTTAATTTAAAATGGAATATAATTATGTTACAATACATTATATTAATATTATTTTGCAAATTATATTAGTACATTGCAAGTTTGATGACTTGGAAGCATTCTATTGGAATTAGGTTAAAAAGTAGATTAATTAGGTCTAATATAAATTAAATACATAAACTATGAAATGTACTGTAATAGTGTTTCTTATACAACATTAATAATATAATTGTTAATTTATAATTTATGTGTATATGTGAAATCTGTAATTTGCAATAAATATATATATATATATATATATTAAATGTACATGTTATTTCAACAGTTTAATTATATTTATACTGAAGAGGACATTAACGTTGGTGTCGAAACGTCTGATGGTTTATTATTAATAAAATTAACCATATTAATCCAGTATAATGATGTATTTTTACTAAATTCTATATTATCTTAGTTTTTCCAAATAAAATAAATATTAACAGAAATTTTAAATTCTTTGACATTAATTGATGAATGAAAATATTAAATCAATAGAATATTTTTTATCTATAAGTTATTAAGTGTATAGACGTTACTTCATATATATGCAACGAAAAAATGATGCTATAAAACTAACTATATTTCGTTAAAATAATTTCGTTAAAAACTTAACTATAACAATACTGAAACAGTTTGACTTTGATTTTTAAGTTTTTATGCATTGAACGATAACTTGAATTATCTTGCTTCCATAATTGTCAAGATAAAAGCTTGGCAGTACTCAAAACCTCTTGCAGGTGATCTCTGAGGTTAAAATATTGACGTTGAACTTAATTTTAAAACTATAAATTAATTTCCAAAACCTCTTGTCCTCATTTACCCCAACTGACCCTATATAAAATCATCTTATTAAAAAAGAGTAAAAATATATGAAATCTTCAAAATATACTAAATTTTTAATTATAATATCTGATTCTAAATGTTAATCTTAATTTATATACAATTTTTTATTAATGTGCTACTAAATTTTTTTTTTCTTCATTTTTCGAAGTAAAAAGTCACCAGTTTTAGAGAATTGCCCATTTTATTAATTTGGCTTTTATTGGAAATTCTAACATATTTCACAAAAATTTACAAATATTCCGAGACAATTTGGTGTCCTCTTCAGTGTAAATAATCAAATAATCCATTGAAACAAAAATTCCTTAACATGAATTGTAAATTCTAATCTCAAAATTGTTAAATTCATTTTTTATTCAGAAAATTAAGTTAAATTAATATATGGTAAGTGATTATTACTTTCTAAAATTTTAAACTTAAAATTATTTATTTATTATTTTTAATTATTTTTATTTTAACTAGTCTAGAGTTTGGTTTGTATTTTACGTGACAAACAATTATTATCAGAATTGAAGATTGCAGTTTCTTTTATATGATTTTTAAAATTAAAACAAGGGTTATTGTTACATGTAGTATAAATTTTTTTATTGTTTTCATTGAATTATTATATTAAAAATTTAATACATATTATTATTATTACATTGATATTTAATAAAACAATATTTTCATCGACAAATTTTTTTTATTTAAACGTAGCTACAAAGTCTTAAAAATCAACGAATGTCGCTTCTAAGAAATATTTCTCCTTTAAAGCAAATTTTTCTAAATCCACCATTAAACCCAAGAATTAGGAATATATTTTTCCAAGCCATTAAAACGCAATTTATTAATATAATATTTAAATAAAATATGATGCAAAGTATTATTGGCTAAGTCCATATTGTATTTTGAATTAAATTCATCAATTCTTTTAATATCCGAAGAAATTAGTTTAAAATCATTGTCATGAACATCTTTTAAACCTACTTTTGTAATGACAAAAGTATTTTTTTTTAATTCATTATATTTCTTCGAATTAAACAGCAGACGAATTGGTGATTCTGCATGGAACATATGAATTTTATCATTAACTTTCAATTTATGTCTTACATTTATAAGCTGTTCATTCTCCTGGATGCCAAAAAAATTGTAATTAAAAATTATAGAATCATTTCGTTCTAAACTTATCGAAAAATATAATTCCTTTGGAAAATATTGATGAATTACGCCAACAAATTGTTGTATTTCTATTGTCATTGTTTTAAAGTTTATAAATATGTTTAAAAAACGCCAGTCACCAATACCTAGGGCATGAAATTCATAATGCACTAATGGTAAAAATACACTATTTTGTGTAATTTCATTAATTATCAAATGAATTTTTGTTTCTTGAGAAATAATGTGATAGTTTACATCATTAATATAAAGATTTCCATTTTTTTCTATCGCTATAAAAATAGAATAAACATCAGACTGTAATTTAATATTCATTAGTTTTCCAGTAATATTGTGACAATTGTTATTCAAATAAAGACAAAAATTTCTTGGATCAATTGGTGATTCAATGGTAAAAGTAACATCGACATATTTTTTCTTCATTTTTGGCATCAATGTTAAAGGTAAAGATTGCCGCCAATCTTTTTCTCTACTTCTGGCTGATAATTCTATTGGCTTTAAATTAAAATCAATAGCAGGCATTACAGGATGTCCATTCAAAAGTCGTATTTCTAAATGTTGACTTACTAGATGACCATTTGTATTAAAATTAATAAATTTCTTCACAAATGGCAATAAATTTATTTCGTAGAGATCGAAAAATACTTCTAAAATTAATGAAATTATAACATATTTGTTGACATGTTTCTTCGAATAGTAACGAATATTAAATTCTCTAAATGCTTTATCAGTACCATCGTAGGCAAATAAATTCATTAAAAGATGTAGTTTTTGTCTATGATTCCAGTTTGTAGAAGTACCTTTGTTATGATACAATGATATAAATTCATTTTTGTCTGATTCTGAAAATGAAAGCCAATAATGTTTCAAATTAAATTTATTTTGATATAAGGCACAAAAAACATTTGTCCATACATCAATAGTATTTCCAAAACCATCAGTCACACCTGATATGTCATATTGATGAGCAACTTCGTGTAATAAAACCCACTCTTTAGCTCGAGTTGGTATTAAAACATCGTCGAATCCACCAGTAAATTTTAACCAAGGACTGCCTGAATATGCATATGCCTCATTTTTTTTTTCTGTCCGAAGGAAAAATCGTTGCTTGTTTACTAAATGATATGATAATGAATCATTTTTATTTACATATCGACTGGCGCCTGTTAAATAATTGTAGTATTTTATTAAATCCACTTGATTTTGCAATGCAATAAATAAATTTAATTTTTGGGATAAAATTGTTTTAATATCGTTTGCTGATAATAACATTTGTGTGTAATAATTTTCAACAAAACCATAAGTTTCAACATTTTTGTAAAATTCTTGTTCAGGTTCTTGTGAGGTGAGTAAAGTTAAATTTCTCGAATCAAAAATAGGTAAAATTTTCCAATTTTTAGTTTTAATTTTTACCATCACTGGTACATTGTATGAAACAGTTAATAATGGAACGCAATCAACTTTTGTTGTAAATTTTTCTGTACTATTTCCCTTTTCACCAAAACCTACTATTATAAATTTTTCTGATATTTCAGTAGGGCAGGAAAATTCTAAATTTTGAATAATTTTTGAAGTTTCTATTGTTAGAGTAAAAGTTGTATCTTTTTTAATTATTATTCCAAAGTGTTTTTTGTAGTGAAAAAATGGTCCTTTGTATATGTTATTTCTCCACGAATCTTCAAATTTTCTAACACTTGGCTTCACAGTCCTTTCAATTTCCTAAATCATTTTTAAAAATTATTAGACATTTTTCAAGTTGTATGGAATAATTAAATAAAATTAGTTACCAAATTAAAGTATGATTAGGTTTTTGTTAATTGAAATTAGTTTAGTTACAGCTAATGTAATTAAACGTAATTAATGAATGCAGATTCCAGATGAATTACTTGAAAATTTTTAATTATTTTTATAGTTCAAATGATTATCAACAATTTAATAATTTAGTGTTGTAAATGAACAAAATTTAATCATTGCACATTTGGAAAATAGTTTTTCATGCGTTGTTAATTTATGCAATTAATAATTTTGTACAATATCTTAATGGTCTGATGACATTTGTAAACAGAGTTGGGAAGCAAGAGCTCAAAATATGTTCGTCCAAAGCAAGGTTGGGTAGGATTGAAATCTTGTCCAACAATAATTTTCCAAAAGTGGTTTTAACGGTTTAAGCTGTGTTCACAATATAATACAGTTAAATACACTTTCCGGAAATTATTGTTCGACAAAATTTTAATCCTACGAAACTTTGCTTTGGACGAACACAATGTTTCTTTTAATGCTACTTGATGTATAATAAAGAAGTAGGGTTTTTGGTAAAAAAATATTTTTTATTATTGTATCACAAATTTTTTTACTTAGGTCAATTTTACTAACTTTGGTATATATTTTTATTTAAATTATGCCATATAATAATTAAACGGTGGTAAACTCATCGAATCGCACGTTTCAAAAAAAAAAATTTATATATAAGAAAAAATTGTTCTTTTGTATAAAAAAAAATTTATATTAATCTATACAGTTCAATTGAAAAAACTTATATTCAAGTTTCTATGACAATTTGACTTATTCAATAAAATTTTAATTAAATATTTTAAACATACCTCTTCGTTCCATGAAACGTGTGCGTTAGAAACACAAAAATAAAATAACAAATTCAAAATTGTTAATATTAACATTTTATGTGAGTTTATAATTTAAAAGTTGGTGAATTAAAAAAAAATTCCTCTAATAACGTTCAGTTGCGATAATTTCAATCATTTATATTTTATAACATTGTTTATTTATTCTAATTTATTTTAAATGACGCAAATCTTGAAAGTAACATCTATATTCTTGTTGACTTATTAAAAAAAAAAATTCTATTGTTTTAATATATCCGTTTGTATAATATTTGTTTATATATGTAAATAGTGTAAAAAAATTATTAACGTCATAGAATATAAAATTTCTGTTAATTTTTAAACACCTATATAAACAGTAAACTAGAAATGATTATTTTTGCATCTAAAATTTTATATAAAAAATCATTTTTAATTTATTCTTGTTTATTATAAAGGGTGCAAATATACGTCATATCATCTATGCTTTTATTGGAATTTTGCTAAAACCATATACTATTGATTTAATATTATCGTCATTGATTATCAATGTTCTATCGATTTTTACACCTATGTAAACTGTAAAAAATATATAAAAAGTAAAAGTTAACTAATTTTTTTTATCGAAGTTGTTATTACTCATGAAATAGTAAATCATGATTTCGTTAATATTCGTAAAATTACTTCTAATATTTGTGTCGAGTACAATTTCTCATGAGACACTGCAATGGAATTTGGACGTAAGTTTTAAAAATATTAATCTAAATTAATATTACTTTAAAATTAAATCTCTGCTTCATCAGCACATGCATTATACATTTAATAATAAATTCATCTTTTAGATGACAACACGAATTGCCGAGCCTTTAGTTCGAGAATTTTCTGAACCATGGACAAGTCGTATGATTCAAAACCAATTTTCTCATTACAAAACTCATTTTCAAATAATAATTAAACAAGGTACAACATTCAATTTAAAGCTGGAAACTGCTTCTAAAATTGAAAATTTATATTTTTATTGTCTTGCTGATTCCCCATATGAATCATTAAACATATTGGATCTTACGGGGAAGAAAAATTTCACCAAAACATTAACAGCAAATTTTGATTGCGTTCCTATGGTATCTGTTTCAAATAATGTTCGAGTACGAATGATAATTGAAACCAAAAACTGGTTATCATTGCCAATTTTTGATTCTAATGATGCATCACTTTTTGAATCAGAAGAATTTGAATCTAAATTTTACAAAAATATCCAAATTTACGGATTTGTTGAAAATTATTACACACAAATGTTATTATCGGTAAATGATATTAATACTTTAAAGTCATTAAAGTATAGTCTATATCTGGGATTGGAAAATCAGATTGATATCATTGAGTATTATGATTATTTAACTGGAATTAGTCCCTATTATACTAAAGATATTGTATCATCATTAAAATTTATGGATCGAACAACAATATTTATACGTTCAGAAAAATGTAATGAAGATAATTCCAGTATAGAAGATAATTCCATTATAGAAGATAATTCCAGTATAGCAGATATTTCCAGTATAGAAGATGTTTCCGGTATAGAAGAATATTTGGCATCATTTTTTAATGGTAATGACATCAATTTTGATATTGTAGACTCTTTCGATAAAATAATATGTCAGGAGACAAATTTGAATAGTCATTTTATATCAGCTATTAATAATGTAGAAAGATTTTTACAACCGAATAAAGGCTCTAGTTGGATTTTATTGCAAAAATTTGCTGAATACTACAATAGGAAAGAAATTGCTGTTGGTTTTGGTGAAACATTCAATTTGTGGAATGATATGTTTGCAACTTTATATCAACAAAAATTTGTAATTTCAAATCCAATTGTACAATCAGCGTCTCCTTACAATTATAAGGAAATTTCAAATTATCAAAAGGGAAACGACATTACAAAATGGAGTTACGAGGAAAAGTTAAATTTATTTGTGAGTCTTTTCGGATATGATGGAACTGATTCTAATTTACGTGAATTTCGTATTCGCCACATTCCTTACAATCAAATTACAATTGATGATTCTGTTGTAGACATAATACCAACAATTTTTGAAATATTTCTTGATCTTTATGATATAAATTTATTGCCGTTTTTGAAAAAGATCATTAAAAATATTTCATTAAATCCTGATTTGGAACTACGACTTTTGAATGGACATCCTGTAATGCCTGCTATTGATTTTGGTATAGATCCTAAAAATTTACAAGCTAGGAGCGAGGAACGAGATTTGAGACATGTTTCTCCTTTAATGTTAATGACAAGAAAACAGAAAACGTATGTTAACGTTAACTTTAAAATTCAATCTCCAATTGATCTCACAAATCGTTGTCTATATTTGAATAACGAATGTCACAATATTGTTGGAAAATACATGAGAATCAATTTATTGTCAGATGTTTACTCTGTTTATGTGATAGAAGAAATTCGTGGTATTACGTATATCAGTGACGTAACGTATCATACCATTTCAAATACTATGTTATTTATTAAGGTGGATGTGAGAGAAATTCAAAATGGCAAACCATATTTACCGTTGATTCATTATAGATTTGATGCTCAAGGTTTGGATAATAAGGTATTTTTACAAATATTTATAAATTACAAGGACTTGATATTATCCGTAAAACAATTAAGTAATGCAATCCCTGATGATTATTTTTCGTTAAATTTCAAACGAAATGGCTCTACTGTTATGAAATATAAATTTCTCGATAGATCACAAAATCAACAATTGCTCATAAATGATGTACACAAATTTAAAGTTAATGATGAACTACACATTTTCCATCGTGAACCAAAGGGACTTAAATTAAATTTGAATGGTTACAATAATCCAATATCACAGAATAATATTTATCGTTTTACTAGTGTTGGTTTGCAAAAAATATCAGAAAAAAAGGAATATAAATTAAAATATGTATTTGATGCTTTGGGTCATGATGATAAGTTATTTTTAAAAATATTTATAAACTACAATAAAATGATAATTAGAATAAAACAATTCATTGGCAAAATTAACATGGAGATTGGAAATGAATTATATTTTTCGTTCATTTTAGAAAGGAACGATACAACTATTTTTGAGTATAAATTTTTTGGCTCTCGACAAAATAATCAACCGCTTATAAATGATATTCGTGAGTTTGAGATTAATGATAAAATTCATATTTATCATGCAGAATCACAACGTTTAATGTTAAATTTGGATGGATATAATAATGTTATAAGTAATAATTCTTTTATTTTGACAAATGAAGGTGTGCAAACGATTGTTTACAAGGAAAGGAAATTAAATAATAATAATAATTATTTTTTGGCTAATAAAGTAAATAATTTAAAATATTCATTTCATGCATTAGGTTATTCTGATTTGGAATTTTTAACAATATTTATAAATTACAAGAATATGACAATAGAATTACGACAATGGCATAACTCTATTCATTCAAACTTTGGTTTATATTTTACGATCAGTTTAGAACGAAATGGTTTAAAAATTTTTGAATATAAATTTTTAGGATATCCCGGATATCAAAAACTTATTAATGTGATGGAGAATTTTCAATTTAATGATATAATTCGTATTTATCATGCCGAACCAGGTCGTTTAAAATTAAATTTAAAAGGATTTAATACTAAAGTAAATTATAATTCTTTTATTTTGTCAAATATAGGTATGCACAATGTTTTAAATAAACAGACAGAATTAATTTTAAAAGAAAAGAAAATCTCTGAAAATGAAATATTTATACCTATTTTAAATGATGCCTTTGATGTTCTTGATAATAATGACAGATTATTTTTGAAAATATTATTTAACTACAAATCTATGACAATTGAATCAAAACAATTTGGTAGTGCGAATAATAGATATTTTAAAAATAATGAATTAAAGTTTTCATTTGAATTAGAACGAAATGGTTCTTCTGTTTTTAATTATAAATATTTTGGCGGTAATCAAATGTTTAATTATAGTGATGTTAATTTCAAACTTAATGATCGAGTACATTTTTATCATGTAGATCCTAAACGTTTTAAGATATATTTAGAGGGAAATAATAATAGAGAAGCACATGATCATACTTTTGTTTTAACAAATGAGGGTTTGAGGCAAATTAATGACTTGAATCTTAAAATAATTTCTGCGGATATTGAAAGAATTGATAAATTTAATTCAGAATACAATATCGACTTAAGCTACAATGCATTGTATCAATATTATTTTGCACATTATATACGTACATTGCACTTTAATAATTTGCAACCTTATATTCCACGAAATTGGTATTAAAGAACAGATTAATTATCTTTAATCTAAATTGTCACCTTAATAACCAAATTGTTGACTTCATTATAAAAAATTTCTAAATCATTGTATTTTTGAAATCATTAAATAAAAAAATTCAGAATAATCTAATAAAACTTCAAAAAAAAAACAGTTTTCCAAAATTCGAAAACTCCAATTTAGTTTAGAAAGTTATTTGTAAAAATTGTAATTCATGAAGCAATTAATTTGTATTTTATCTATCTGAAGGGCCTTAGTCCATATATGTAAATTAAATAAATGTTATAAATAAATATGAAATTGTTGTTAAGATTCTTTTCAGAAATTGCGAATATTTTTAATGTTATCTATTATGATCATTTATAAATATATAAATAGTCTAATAACCTTGGCCCGATGCTGTCTTTGTTCTAAATATTTCATTCAAGAGATAGCAGTATCATTATTAACACGTAAGCTTCCGGTTAATTTTTTTTCGTTTTCTCAGTTTACCATACAGAAATCGACTCAAATTTAACAGTATTTTCCTAAACATGCAGTTTATCGCTTTCTCTTTACTCTTTCATCTCATTTCAATTGCAAAGACAGGTAATTTATAAAAATTTAGTGTCTCAATATTTAAATTTTTAATTGTTATTACAAAAATTTTACCAAAATTTGTGAACTTATTTTTCGCAATAATAATATCAATAATAATAATTAAAATTTGAAATAATTAATTAAATTAAAGTAAGTTAAAAAAAAATTAAATTTTTGTTTATTATTTTAATATATTTCAAGACTGGCAATCAAAATATGAAAAAAAATCTGCTCCTGACATCCTCTTTAATGGCATTCAAATAGACATTCAGTTATCACCATATAATGTAAGTGATTTTTTAAGAGACCGATTGATTTTTATAATGAATTCTCCTGGCACTTTACTTATTTTACCATGCTGACTATTTTATTTTGTATGTGATATTTTTTTAAAATCTCAAGTAAAAATTAAAAAAAAAAAAATGATTAAAAATACTTAAATTTATTTTTATAAAAATAAAATTACAGATATTTTTAAATTTTTAGGCTGTAGTTTTTGCTGATAAATCATTTCCAAAACTTGAATTTTGTGGCGCTGCAATAATAACCACTCGACATCTTATATCTGCAGCTTATTTTTTTGCACTACAGTAAAAAATTTTTTCTTCTTTTCTATTAAATTTATTTTAGTTTTATAAATTAATATAAATTTAATTCAATTAAACAATTTATTTAGTTAAATTTTATTAATTTTTTTTTAAATTTTAATTAAATAAATAAGATAATGAAGATATAAATTTAAAAAAGTAATTTCAATTTTCTTTTACTTTTACATTATATAGACAACATAAGAATTTTAAAGTTATAACAGGATCAACATTCGTTAAATCTTATGAAAATTACAATTTTTCGGAGCAAAGTAATTATCATAGCATCAAAAAAATTTACATCCATGAGAAATATGACCCTTCTGAAATTTACCACAATATTGCATTAATTGAGGTAAAAACGAATTTTTATTATATTTAATTCAATTGGAATTAATAAAATAAATATACAAAATTAGAATTTAAATATTATTTTTTCAGTTGACGAGTTTGTTACGTTTTTCATATAAAATTCATTACATTCCTTTGATGAATCTTCAAGATGTATATAATATAACGGAAAATGAATTTACAATGACAATCACGGGATATGGACGGGAAGAAGTGAGTCTATAAATTCATATTTTTTTAATACACTAAAATTAATGGAAAAAAATACTTATATACTAACATTATATTTTTTCTAAATAATTTTTACGAGAAATCTCTTTTATTTTCCTTTACACGATATTTTGGAATTATTTACAAACTGAGTTTAATTATATTTATTAATATTGTTACGAATATGAATTTAAATTTAAGCTGATTTCCCGCCTTTAAATATAGCATGAATAATAATTAAATTAATTTAATTCATTCATTGATACATAATTTTATTAATTCATTAATATATATTTTAATTAGTTCATTAGGGGATAATTAAATTTATTCATAAATAATTATAATTTATATTAATTCGTTCATTCATTAATCATTAAATTAATTTAATTAAAGTAATTCATTGATACTTTATTCATAAAAAATAATCTAAATTAGTAAATTCATTAATAATTAACTTACTTTAATACATTCATTGATGATTAATTAAAATAATTCATTCATAATCACTTTAATTCATTTAAGAATATTTAATTAAATTAGTTCATTCATTAATCATTCAATTCATTCCTGGATAATTAATTTAAATTTGTTCATTTATAATTCATTAAATTAATTTAATTTAAATAATTCATTGATACTTTATTAAATTCTTGCATGAATAATTAAATTAATTTAATTTATTCAATGATAATTAAAATAATTCATTGTTAAGGAGTTTAATTCATTCATGAATAATTAATTTTAATTAGTTCATTTATTAACCATTAAATTAATTTAATTAAAGTAATTCATTGATACTTTATTCATAAAAAATAATCTAAATTAGTAAATTCATTAATAGTTAACTTACTTTAATACATTCATTGATAATTAATTAAAATCATTCATAATCACTTTAATTCATTTAAGAATATTTAATTAAATTAGTTCATTCATTAATCATTCAATTCATTCCTGCATAATTAATTTAAATTTGTTCATTTATAAATCATTAAATTAATTTAATTTAAATAATTCATTGAAACTTTATTAAATTCATGCATGAATAATTAGATTAATTTAATTTATTCAATGATAATTAAAAGGAGTTATAATTGTTAAGGAGTTTAATTCATTCATGAATAATTAATTTTAATTAGTTCATTTATTAACCATTAAATTAATTTAATTAAAGTAATTCTTTGATATTTCATTTATGAAAAAATAATTTAAATTTGTTCATTCAGTAATAATTAAATTAATTTAAATTAGTTTATTCATTAATAATTAAATTAATTGAATTTATTCATTGATAATTAATAAAAAGTAATTCATTGATACTTTATTAAATTTATTCGTGAATAATTAATTTAAATTTGTTTATTCATTAATAATTTATTAAATTTATTCATTAATAATAATTGAATTGATTCATGAATAATTAGATTAATTAAATTTATTCATTGTGTTTTATTTTCGAGTTAAGTATTTGTGGTAATTAATAGTTTGGGATTGAGTAATTATGTCAAAAATAAATGGGCGTCAGTTCATTTAAACTAAGAATAGTAATTGCATTTATTCTTAAAAAACATAAGGTAAAGTTCGCGGTAAAAACAATAAAAAAAAGGTCACCAAAATTGATTTAAGAGAGTTCAACAAATAATTAATCACCAATTTACTAATAAAATAAAGAGATTTTTGACAGTCGATATTAAAGGCGAATGACTTATTCCTCGAATTCTTGCATACTAACGTTTTGTACAATTTAACGAAATCACACACATTCTTGAAATGGGGTGCATGGTTACCAAATTAAGTAATGAGTGATGCCTATAGAAAGGCACTAGCAAAATTCTCGCGGCAATACTTTGAAATTAAACAATTGATACTTAATTAAATTCATTCTTTGAATATTAATTAAAATAATTCATTCATACTTAATTTAATTAATTCATGAATAATTAATTTAAATTAGTTCATTCATTATTAATTAATGTAATTAATTGTTAATAAAACATTTGAAAGTTATTTTACAAAGCGAATTATTATTTTATTATGAATTTTATTTGACATAGTGATACATAATTTTTTATGTCATTTAGTATTCTTAATTTTTGGTTTTCAAATATTTAATTGACATTTGACAATGTAACAGAAAATCTTCACCTTATCTTCGCTTACAATAATTTATTAGCAGTATAGTAATTTTAAAAATAGAATTCCATAATCATCGCCGTCAAATGCTATTGAGAAATTAATATAGATCATACATCAAATTGATTACCAGTAGCAATTCCATCAATAATTATGTTATTCTCTCAAGGTTTGATTGAGCTAATCCATAGGTATATATTAAACGTATATTAAATATAATTTCTCTAATTTACAACATTAAAATTAATATTATATATTTAATAAAACAATAACCCATATATAGAATTTTAATTTAATTTTCAGAATCAATGGATAAGCCACTTGACAGAACAAACAATACAAATAAATGACATAAGAATTCATAAATTAAACGAACGTCTTCTCGTGCTTGATAGAAAGGAGGCAAAATTTTGCTTCGGTGATTCAGGAAGTCCAGGGGTTATTAATGGAAAATTAGCAGCAGTAATGATGCATGATGACTTCTGCAATTTTACAGATTTACCCCTGTTACTCACTGGAATTCCTTATTACTATGAATGGATTAAAACTTACGTTGGTCAAGAGCGTCTTGAAAAATATCCACATCTTAATTAATTAACAATTTATATATGTTTTAGAAATAAGAAAATAATTTTAATATTAAATTAATTTCTCGATTTTATTATGTAAATTAGAAATTAAATATTGCCTTGTTTCTTGTCTTAATCTTTAACACCAAAATTTTAATCGACAATTACAGTCACCTGTAGTGCGATCTCTGACTAGTTAGTATTTTTATTTTCAATTTTTTATACCAAATTTGATGATATTCTTTCACTGGCCAAACTGTTACAAATAATTAAATAATAATGTGAATCAATAAAGAGAGAACCAACACTTGTAGTGCACACATCCACCTAACACTTTAAAGTATTATGAGGCTACAAAAATCCTTTTGTGTTACAAATCAAGAAATAAATGATTTCCTTTGAGTATTCTACAAAAAATTGTGAATCTGTATTATGGCGTTTTGTTAAATTCGTTATAAAAAGGAGAAATCAATCTTGAATTCGCCTGCGATTTTGTAATATCTTTTATCAACAGTTTTTAATCTCCTACTGTTTTGTCAACACCTAATCTTTATTAATGGGGAGCCAACACATTATACAAGTTCAAAAAATCGATTTTTTTGCATAAATAGTTAGTTAAAGTATTCAAAGGTAAGCTGAAAAAATTTTCAGAGCGAAATTCAATGTTCTTTCAGCGCTGCAGGTTATAATCGGAGATATAACGAAAGCTATAGCGAAGCAGGTTGGTAACGGCGTCGCTGAGGTAAAGTCCCTTTGATATTTGACTCGCTTTGTGTAGATGGACGAAAGGATAAAGAAGGATTGATGTATGGAGCTAGAATAGCAGATTAAAATGTAAGCATTTTAAATATTTTTTTAATTTCATAAATTTCATTTTTTCGATATTTTTTTCAAATGAACTTTCCTCGAAATAGTGAAATTTTATATTGATGTAAATCATCGAAACAATTTTAATTTATTATTCAAAAATAATATTTGTAAAAGTTGGTGTATTTTAGTTCTTGAAGTGCAACAGTGTAAACATCTTAGTTAGTCCAAGAAGTAAAGTTTTTTTTTTTTTTGCTTTACAGTAATGATACATTATTTAATTAATACATTATATTCAATATACAATTTCACCGGATATCAATATTTAGTTCAGTTCCACACTACTGAATAGTGGTGCAAGACATATCTCCTCCTTAAAACATAGTTCATTAATTATAATTTAATTAATCTATTAATAATTAATTTAATTAATTCATTGATATTTAATATAATTAATTAATTGAAATTTTATTTTATTTAACCATTAATAATTAATCTATTAGTTCATTAATAATCATTTAATTCTGAATTTATTTATTCACTGATATATATATAATTTAATTAATTATTAATTCATTTAGAAAATTAATAGTAATTTAATTAATTCATTGATATTTAATATAATTAATTAATTGAAATTTTATTTTATTTAACCATTAATAATTAATCCATTAGTTGATTAATAATCATTTAATTCTGCATTTATTCATTCACTGATATATAAATATATAATTTAATTAATTAATAATGAATTATTTAAATTAAATATAAATTGAAAATAAATTATTCTACAACAATTAATTAAATTAGTTGATTAATAATAATTCAATTCATTCATTCATTTATTCATTCAGTGATATTAAAGTAAATTAATTATTAATTAATTCAGTTAGAAAATTAATAGTAATTAATTAATTTATAATTAACTAAATTAATTCATCGATATATGATTTAATTAATTCATTGAAATTTAATTTCATTAATTCTTTAATAACAATCCATTAGTTCGTTAATAATAATTTAATTCATTTATTAACAATTAATTACATTTATTCATTTCATTCATTCATTCATTTATTCATCCAGTGATATTTAAGTAAATGAATTAATTATTAATTCATTTAGAAAATTAATAGTAATTTAATTAATTCATTGATATTTAATATAATGAATTAATTGAAATTTTATTTTATTTAACCATTAATAATTAATCCATTACATGATTAATAATCATTTAATTCTGCATTTATTTATTCACCGATATATATAATTTAATTAATTAATAATGAATTATTTAAATTAAATATAAATTGAAATTAAATTATTCCACAACAATTAATTAAATTAGTTCATTAATAATAATTCAATTCATTCATTCATTTATTCATTCAGTGATATTAAAGTAAATTAATTATTAATTAATTCAGTTAGAAAATTAATAGTAATTTCATTAATTGATAAATAATTAAATTAATTCATCCATATATAATTTAATTAATTCATTGAAATTTAATTTCATTAATTTTTTAATAAACAATCCATTAGTTCGTTAATAATAATTTAATTCATTTATTAACAATTAATTACATTAATTCATTTCATTCATTCATTCATTTATTCATCCAGTGATATTAAAGTAAATGAATTAATTATTAATTCATTTAGAAAATTAATAGTAATTTAATTAATTTATAAATAATTAAATTAGTTCATTAATATATAATTTAATTAATTCATTGAAATTTAGTTTCAATAATTCATTGAAATTTAATCTCAATAATTCTTTAATAATTAATCCATTGGTTCATAAATAATAATTCAAAAATAAAAGACGTTTTTGTTTGTTTGGCCTAAAGGCTTTTTAAGAATATTAAATCTTTATAAAAAATTACGCGTTTCGACACTTATTCGTGTCTGCAAAAAATGGATTAAACTAGATCGATTTTTTATATGAGAGATTTAAATTTGTTAATATTAACATTAATAACAATTGTAAATAATTATAAATTAAAAGTTAAAAAATATTAACATACCAGATTAAAATGATATACAGAGTGTTTGAAATTTTTTGTGCAGTTATTTAAGTATACATAGATGTTAAAAATTGATGTAGTCTGTAAAGAAAATTAAGAATCAACTATTATTTGTAATTATTCAAATTAAATATTGTTTTTATTTTATTTCTATTTTTACCTTGTTTTGGTGTTTTAAAAAAGATAAAGATAAACACTTGACTGACAATAATAATTCAATTAATTAATTCATTCATTTACTTAAATTGAATTTAATTAATTATTAATATTAATTTATTTATTAATAATTTGATTATTTTATTGATATATAATTTAATCAATTAATAATTAATAATCATTTATTTAAATTAAATATACATTAAATTTTATTAAATTAGTCTATTAGTAATAATTTAATTAATTATTAATGAAAAGTCTGGAAAATCTTTTTATAAATCATTCTAAATAAAAAGCAAATTATTATTAAAAAAAAAAATTTTTTAATGTTATATTCGCAGTAGTCATAAGTTTTTAAGTAAAATTCATTGCTATCGTATTTTTAGTTTTAGAATTATAAAGAAAAACGTAAAAACCACTAATTTATTAGCTTAGTCTTGTTGAAGGATAAATTATTTTATTTACGAGTTAATTGAACATCGTCGTCGTCGTTTTTTGGTAATTATTTCTCTTTCTATATATATGTGTATTCACTCTCTTTTCCACTCTGTTCTCCATAATTCAATAAAAATTCATTAATCAAATAATTATGCATTATATTTTTCTTTTTTTAGTTTCTTCGTTTGTTCAATTATTTTGTGCTACATAATATTTATCATGATAAAAACAATTAATTAAATATTTTAGTAAAAATAAATTTAATGGCAGAATAATTTCTATTTTTAGCAATCAAAAAGTAAATAATTAATGTGTAGTGTACTAAACAATTAACGGGAAAGATTTTTTTTTTTAAATTCACTTTAGGTAGTTTTCAAGGTTTTTCAAAATTCAAAATGGCAACTTTAATATGTCGGACTAAAAATTTTATTTTTCTCCATAATTTGCCTGGAACTTGTTACTCGGGAGTTTTTAGTGTCGCTGATTACGAATTCGATGTCAGTTTCCAAAAATTCAAAATGGCGGATCCAAAATGGAAGCCATTAAAAAAAATCGTTCGATATTGTTTTGAAACTTGTTACTCGGGGGTTTTTGGGGTCACTGATTATGAATTCGATGTCAGTTTTCAAAAATTCAAAATGGCGGATCCAATATGGCAACGGATTTTTTTTTAAATTAATCAAATTCGCTTGACACTTTTTACACGGGGGGTTTTTGGGGTCGCTGATCACGAATCTGGGGTCAGTTTTCAAAATTTCAAAATAGCGGATCCAATATGGCGGGAAAATTTTTAACTTTATATTTTTGAAAATTAATTAATATTTCAAAAAAAGAAATCTAATAAAATAAAAAAAAATTACTTATTAAAAAAGTAATAAAAAATTAATATTTAAAAAATTGTTGTTCCTTTCGATTTTTAATAGTATCTTTTTTTCTTTTTCGTGTAAATGATGTTGTTATAAACGCGCTCCGGAGAAATTACCGCGCGCACGCGAGGGAATTCCACATGTTGTTGATGCGCGCGCAAATTGTCAGTGATGTTGACCGTTTAACGTCAGACACACATTTTTTTTTTTGGTCAGTATTCGCCGTGTTCTCAAGCGCGGCAGTTAACTTGAAAATTATTTTAATTTTTTCTTTTTAATATTCACTTACACACATATATACAAGAAAAAAAAACATACACATTTTTTAAAGTGTATATTTTTCATGTCCACGTGACTTGTTTTAGTTAGCAAGTCTTCACACAATTATGGCACAATTTATTTACTAGTCATATTTTTATCCCTGTTGCCTTTTTTTTATTGCATCATTATCATCAAATTTAACGTAAGTAGTAATAATTTTTTTTTTATTTTAATTTAATTTTTATTAATTATATTATAATTTAGTTAAATTAATTTTTATCTTATTTTTATTCTTTTGTTAAATTAATTTCAATAAGTTTTAAGTAAGGCAGTTTTTTTTTTGCATTAATTTTTTATAGTTAATATATGTTTAATCTAAAATGAAAATATTATTTCTATTTAATACTAAAATTATGTAATAATTTTTACAATAATAATTATATATAATAAATAATTAATTATAATTATAATAATATGTAATTAATTATATATTATAATATTTATATTTATTATTTTTAATACCCAAAAATTCTAAGTAAGAGTTTTATCTTCAAAAAATATATGCAAATAAATCCCAGTTATTTTTACATTTTAAAAATTATTCTACTAATTAATCATAAGAGATTTTTTGCAGAAAATATAGAGGATAATAATAATTTACAGATTATAAGTCGTTAGCAAATTTTTTTTTTTTTTTTCTCAAGAATCCGAGTTGAATTGGCATTGGGAAATAAAATCGGGTCATTGGGGAAAAAGAAAATTATTTTTTCCAAGATCCTTAAAGTAAGTTTTCCCAAGTGGAGATGGATTTGCGTCTTTTTTGCCAACTTACTGAGATTCTTGCTAGTTTGAACTTCTTGGGATTAGAATTCAGCTCCCGCGGCTTAAACATCTAAGGAGATCAACTTCCGGTGTATCTTTTCAAGTGGTTCGCTTAATTAATGCGCAAGTCAATTTAACTTTATTCAACAAAACAAAAAGGCTGACTCATTTAATTAACTTTTCTTTTATTTTTCTTTATTTTTTTTTTTAATTTTCTAATAGCGATAATAACAAATTGATTTTAATAAGTAAAACTGCTTTTTATTCTTCGTAAAATTTAGTTTTACATATTGGTCAATTTTGAAAATTATATTTATTAATTAATTATTTAATTGTTAATTTCTTTTATTATTCATTTATTTAATTAGTTATTTAATTAATTAATTTCTGTTAAGGAATTTGTAAAAGCCCTAATGGGTATACAATAAAATAAATATTATTATTATTTATTTAATTAATTTATTATTATATTCTATAATTATCAAATTATTTAAAATATTTCTATCAATTTTGAAAAATATTAACATTTTTAATTGACAATTTTTGTTATTTTAATTTTATTTTTATATCGTTTATAAAAAAAAAAAATTTCAATTTTAAAATTAAATAAAAAAAAAATTGCAAATCAAAGTATAAGTCAAGATAAGAAGAAAGTATAAATATGAAAATGTAAATAATAATTTTTTTTTTGTTTTTAATCATTGAAATTAATTTTTTTTTTCTAAGAAATCGAGTATAAAGATGAATTTAACGTCATTATTTGCAAGTTTTATTTATCTGTTGATTAATTTAAAAAAAAATTTTTTCAATTAGTTTGAAAAATTTTGTCTTGAATTCAAATTTATTTTAGATCATTCATTGCTTTTCTTTCTCTTAATTTTCTCTCTTATTACTTTTTTTTCTACTTTTTCTTTGCCCCTTACAACATTCGTTCTCCCTCGTATTTTTTTAAGAAGGCCTTGAATGTCAAAACAGAATTCTCACATATATACACACACACATATATATATATATACTTCTTCAAATATAACCGAGTTTTTAATTTTATTTTTAAATTTACTTTACACTAAATTATTTTATAAATTATTTATTAATTATATTTAAATATTGCACATTAATTGATAATATATAACATAAATTAAATGCAAATAATTTATTGCTGTAAATATTTTCCTCTAGTACGAATATTGATTTTATTTATTTTTTAAATTAAATATTAAATACCATTAATTAAATTATTAATTTCTGTTATTTATGTTAATTTAATATTTCAGTTTATAATTTATTTAATAATTATTTACAAAATAATTTAATCACAGGTTAAAATATCAGAGGCGAAATTTATAATTTAAAAATTAAAAAAAAAATTTTTAAATACAAAAAATTAATAATAATTATTAGTAATTAATAAGAATATAATAATAATAATAATAATAATAATAATAATATTTAATTAATTTAAACATGAAATAAAAAAATTGAATTATTTTGAAATTTTATTTTTATAATTCGTAATTTAATTTTAAATTTTATAATTTATTTTATTAATTAACAATTAATTATTTTTTTTTTATATAAAGTTGACTTTGATTAGTTTCTATGCTAATAAAGCAAGAGCAAAAAAAGAGGTAGTTGACATTCTTCTTTATTATCAGAGTTTACGAGATTTCATAAGGAAGGATTGACAATAATTTTTAAATTCATGACTCTCTATAGTAATAAAAGTGTTTCCTAAATTAATAAAAGTTGCTCGTCAGATTCTACGACTGTTTTTTTTTTATTTCCTAAATTCATTGAATTATTTTTTTAATTACTTAATTAATTTATTAACAATTTGAAAAAATTTATTTTATATTTTATTAATTTTTTTTTATTATATTGTAATTAAAAATGTAATTAACTTATTTGCAATTTTTTAATTAATTTAATTATCATATTATTAATTTTTTTGTTTATTTATTTCTTAATCTAAAAAAAATTATTTTATGATATTTAAAAAAAAAATTAAAATGATAAAGTATTATTAGATGTAAAAATTGAAAAATAATGTAATTATTTTGTTATCACAAACAGAAGAAAGTGTATAGTCTTAATATTCAACGAGAAAAATGGAAAAGAAAAAAGAAGAAAATTGGTAAAATATGTATTAGTCGAAGTGGCTGTGTGGACTGCCAACAAGTCTCGCGTCCCAAGGGTGCTGGGTTCGATCCCCCATGTGTGCGAGATTTTTTTTTTAAATTATTCCCAAATGTTTTATATATTGTATATATAATAATCTTAAATAGAATATAAATTAGAAATAAAAAATTATAAAAACTATAAAAAAAAGAAAAAAACAATGCAAAATGATCTAAAAAAAAATTTCCTAATTAAAACAAAAAAAAAGTATATATATTGGCAACTAGAAGGCAGGTAAATTCATCTTCTCTTGTATTTACTGATGCGTTTACACTCGGAATAATACATCAAAATTAGAGCGCATCAATCTTTCATTATTGACATTTCTGACAAAGTCAGAAATATTTCAATGAAAAAAATTTTTTTTTTTTTTTTTTGATTCATTGACATTCTTTTTATTGTATATTTGATATTAAAAAAAAATTATTACTGTACAATAAATAGATGCACGATTTATAGTCCTTGTAAAAATTTATCCCCTTTCTCTCAATAACAAAAATGTACGGAACATTTTTTTTTATTTTATTATAAATTGATAAGCGATTGGAGAAATAAAACAAAAAAAATTTTATAATTAAAAAAAATTATATTTGCTATAGAATTTTTTTTTTTTTTGCTTTTCATATGATTTTAAGTATAGAAAGAAAAATTTTTCCTTTATCATGAAAAATAACTTTTATTCATACTCAGTGAGAATTTTTTTTTTTTTTTTTTGTAAAAAAAAAGCATGTTTCCGGGACTTATTGGCAATCCTGGAGGCAATTCTTTCTTCAAATTGCACATCCGGCCTTTCGTTCTATGCGCCTCCATTTAGATGAATTTATTCTCAGCAGATCTCTATTTTTCTCTTACACTCCCCTCCCCCTCCCCCCCCACCAACTTGCACACCTGATGCAGTATAGGATTTTGACCTGCTTTTAAAAATTCTAAAGAATTTTTATCTCTTTGTCGTTTAATTATTTTATATATAAATCCAACATACGAGTATCGTTAATTTTATTTTACAATTTTTTTATTTTGAAAATTTTTTATTTTAAAAAATTTTTATTTTGCAAATTTTAAATTTCAGAAAATTTTTATTCTATTTAAGATTAATTTACAGTATATAAAATAGTTATTAATAATTTTGAAAAATTTCGAACCCATGGGGGATTGAACCCAGGTTCCTTGGGACGCGAACCTTATACGCAATCCACACAGCCACTTTTGACTTACAGATATTTTACCTAATTTCTTCTTCTTTCTTTTCTTTTTTCTTCTTGAATATTAAGACAACATCTTCTATATATTTGTGACATTAAAATAACATTTTTTTTTATTTTTACATCTAACAATAGTTTATTATTTATTTTATTTTTTTAATATTTATAATAATTTTTAATAATTTTTTTTCTTTTAATTTTAATAATTTTTATTATAACTTTTTTTTGCAATTTTAATAATTTTTTATTATAAATTTTTTTAGAAAATAAATTCTCTAATGGAAAATTTAAGCTGAATTATAATGAAATTAATAAACGTGAAAGGATTTAACAATGAAAAAGCATAATTTTCGAGAAACTAATATTTAACAGAAAATACATGAAATACAAAATAGATTTTTTATCTAACGTAAACAATGTGAATACGCAAACATGATTTGTCTGAAAAGGATTTTTGAATATGTATAATTTAAAATTCAAAAATTGTAAAAAATTGGAAATATAGACCCTGGAATTTTTTTAGATTCAAAGCAAAGTTATTTGACAACTTTGCACCAACCTTGCCTCAAGCTTACTGAGCAATCTTGCGATTATCTTATCGTACAATCTTGCAGTAACCTTACACTGCAATCTTTCGGTGAACTTACCAATGCTAGCTTTCGGTCAGGTGGAAGATTTGAAGATTGCAGTAACCTTGCCGCAAGTTTGTCGTGCAAGGTTGGCAATATTGCTCGGCTGCAAGGTTGCTGCAAGCTTACGGTTATAATTAAAAATTTTGAAGAATTAAAGAGTGTTAAAATGTAAGAAATATTACAAGTAAATAATTAATTCTTATTATATAGAATTAATTTTTTCGATTTAAAATATGGGAGAGAAAAAGAAGGGAAAATTTATTGATATCCTTAAAACTCATTAAATCCAAAAAAAAGCATAAGTCATTTCATAAATATATATCTATATATATATGTATTCAAAAAATAACTAAGGGTGAAAATTGATTATGAATGAATAATGAATTTTTGAATACTTTTATTTTCTATGTATATATATATATACGACTAAATAATGGATATAGGACATGGCGTTTGTCTCGATCTGGCATTCTGCCATTTCCGCTGTTCAGCACGACCACAGAATGTGGATGGGAATTCAAATACATAATACCACGTACTCTCACAGAGATGACTCATCAGAGCGCAACTATGGTTTTGCTAAATGGCTTTCTACATTGAAACTTAACAATGTAAATATATTTACCAATAACAATGTGCCCGGTTTATTTTTGAAAGTAACCGCAGTTACAAGAAAATGTGTTACTTATAGCGATTGGTACTCTTATTTTTTTTTATTAAAGTAACGTTACAATGCGTTATTTTCCTTAAAAAAAGCTTCATTTATCTTTTTTCTTTAATTTAAATTCAAGAAAAAAGATTAAAGAGAGTTTAAAAATTTTTAATCTCGTTTTATATATTACCCTGTGGGCAAAAAACCATGTACGTTCTAAAAACGTTTAAAGAACGTTTCATGTCCACCAAATAATGTTCTGGAACATTATTTGAACATCCATGTTTTTAATATGTTCCAGAACATTATTTGGTGGACATGAAACGTTCTAAGAACGTCCTTAAGGCCAGGTCCAAGTGAGGCAGCGCCATCTACATTGATACTAAAATTTTTGAAAATTTTCAACAGCCCTTTCTTGAAAACAAGATGGTAAAATGCTTTTTCTTTTATGGATAATTGATTATTGGCAAGATATACACCAGCTAAAACTTTTTTTTGAGTTAAAATAATAAAAAAAATTTCATGTCAATAAATTAAATATGAGCACTTTATTCACAAAAAACTGTAACAGTACTTTCTTAGAAATTACAATCAAAAATGCAATTTCCATTTGGAAAATTAATAAACGCTAAAAAATACACGACCTAATATTTACCAATCACGAAAATAACAAAAAAAATTTTTATTAAATATTTAACATATTGATACTGCTTCACTGATTGTGACAGCCCTTTGGTAGATTATGTATTTCAGGTGGTTAGCAAAACTGCGAAACGTCTGGTGACATATATAACCTGCCAAACGGCTGTCATAATGAGTAAAATATGTTATGTTAAAATACATTTTTTTTGTTATTTTCGTGATTGGTAAATCTTAGGTCGTGTATTTTTTAGCGTTTATTAATTTTCCAAATGGAAATTGCATTTTTGATTGTAATTTCTGAGAAAGTACTGTTACAGTTTTTGTAAAAAAAGTGTTCATATTTAATTTATTGACATGAAATTTTTTTTATTATTTTAACTCAAAAAAAGTTTTAGCTGGTGTATATCTTGCCAATAATCAATTATCCATAAAGGAAAAAGCATTTTACCTTCTTGTTTTCAAGAAAAGGCTGTTGAAAATTTTCCAAAATTTTAGTTTCAATCTAGATGGCGCTGCCTCACTTGGACCTGGCCTTAAAACGTTTTTAGAACGAACATGGTTTTTTGCCCACAGGGTACTTTTTTCACAAACTTACTGAAAATTTTCTATCACATTTTATTTCTTCTTTTCTTTTTTTTTTTTTTTTGCAAAATTTTTCTTCTCTTTGACATACTCCTACACGGTTCATACCATTGTTGTAAATTTTTATCCCTTTCGATCTTTTATTACAAATTCCAATACCACTTATTTTTAATTTTTTATTCTGTTCTAGCGCATTTCATCCCTTAATTGTAAATTTTAATCAGTTTCAAAATTTCATCTTCTTGCTATTTAAATTTTAATGTGATGGTAAAGTTGACTTAATCTTTTTGTAAAAAAAAAAATGATTAGACTAACGAGCGAGAAGCTAGAAAAGAGGAGAAAGAGAATGAAATTTGCTTTACATGAGAATTAAATAAAACATAAAATCAGATTAAAAATTTTCAGCAAAGGGATAAAAAGAAATAAAAAGAGATTAAAAAAGAAAGAAGGGAGATAAAAGCCCTCACAACACCCTCCCTGAGGATATCCTCAGAATATCCTAAACTAATGTAGGATACACTGCAAACGTCCATAAGATATCCTAGGATATCCTGAGGATATCCTCAGAACATCCAAACCGCCGTTACGTAGGATATTTTGGGATATCCTGGGGATATACTTAGGCTATTCTGAGTTATCCTGGGGATATCCCTGGGATATTCCAGGGATATCCTAGTGATATCGTGGGGATACTCTTGGGATAAACTTGGTATATCGTTAAAATATTCTAGAAATATCGCTAAGATCTCCCTAGGATATCATTATGATTCAAATTTTGACTATTTGAGATAGCGATTTTTTGATACAAATAGGTTTCCCGTGATTGTCAATCATCTTTCAATTCTGGGCCTTAAAGTTGATAATTAGAGCATATATTTAAGTCAAAAATGCGATTTTCGACACTTTAAATTCGTTTTTTATGGGACTGACCGAATGAAAATTTTTTGTTCTAACACACGCACCGAAAGTACAATTTAGATATCTTGGAAATATATTCAAAAAATATGTTTTCCATTTTTATTTAATTAATTTGTATGTTAGGGTCGTTTAATGGATATCTTAGGGACATTTTTAAAACGACTCAGGGATATTCTAACCCTTAAGATAATATAGATATACTGTGGATATCCTTAGGACGTCCTAAGGACATCACTAATTATTCCAGGGATATCCTTGGGATATCCTTAGGACGTCCTGAAGATATCCTAATAATATCCGGGGAAATGATTAGGATATCCCTGGGATGTCTTAGGGACATCCTTAGATATCCCTGGGATATCCTAACCGCCGCTACTTTGGATATCCTTAAAGTATCCTTAGGATAACCCTAGGGTATCCCTAGGATATCCAAGGGATGTTTTTGGAATATCCTAGGATATCTGGTGCTGTGAGGGAGGAGACAGAAAGTGTGAAAAAGAGATAGAAGGAGATAGAAAGGGATAAAAAGAGATAGACGGAAATTAAAGGTGATAAAAAGAGGTATAAAGGAGGCAGAAAGGGATAAAAATAAATAGACGGAGATAAAAAAAAGGTAAAAAAGAAATGGAAGGAGACAGAAAGGGATAAGGATATAGACGGAAATTGAAGGAGATATAAAAAATAAAAACACATGGAAGGAGACTGAAAAGGGCTAAAAAGAGACAGACGGAGATAACAAAAAGGATTAAAAAAAGATAGAAGAAGACAGAATATTGAAGGAGTTAAAAAGTGAGATAGAAGAAGACAGAAATTGTACGAGATAAAAAAAAGATATAGTAGGAGAGAGAAAGTGATAAAAAGAGGTAGACGGAGATAAAAAAAAAGATAAAAAAAGAGATAGATGAAGACAGAAAGAGATAAAAAGATGTAGACGGAAATTGAAAGAAATAAAATTAAATTTAAAAAAAATATAGAAGGAGACAGAAAAGGATACAAAAAGAGATAGACAGAGATAAAAGAAGATAAAAAAGAGATGGAAGGAGACAGAAAGGGAGAAAAAGAAATGAACGGAAATTGAAGGAGATAATGAAAATATAAAAAATTATAGAAGGAGTCAGAAAAGGATAGAAAGAGATAATAAAAAAGTTAAAAATTAAGTTGGAAGCGGATACAGAAAGGGATAAAAAGAGATGGACAGAAATTGGAGAAAATAACAAAAAAGTTAACAAGATATAGAAGGAGACAGAAAAGGATAAAAAGAGAAAGACGATGATTGGAGGAGATGAAAAAATATACTAAATGAGATAAAAAGAGATTGAGCAGAGATACATTGAGATAAAAAGATGATAATTGAGATTTATTAAAAAAATATAGATAGGATTTCCGTCTCTTTACATTAAGCACTATAATATTTTTTTTCCAAATATATAAATATTTCTCTTTTTTATTTCAATATTTGAAATAAAAAATATATATTTTCCAAAGGAAATTTTCAGAAAAATTATTAATATAGTTTTAAATACTACCATTTTTTTTTGAATATATAGTAAAATCTAGATATTAAAGTTTATATATCTTTTACTTTGACAATAACTATTTGGCATTAATGTAACAGTTTAGAAAATATAAAAAACAATTTTTATTTTTACGAGTTTTCGCTATAATCGGGTCAATTAAATCTGTAAAGGTAGAGTGAGAGAGAAGGAGGGGGTGGGGGAGAGATATAAAAAAAAATGCAATTAAAACCATTCATGGATTATACTTATATAGCGAAAAGAATTTTTATGATTATTTCATGATTTTGACGTTAACGTCACAAAAGATTTTTCGCACAGTTATTGTTTTGGGATAAAAAGAGTTACATTTATTACGTTTTAAGGGCATTTGTTAGTGTTAGGTCACGTGATTCAACATTTCATTGTTAATATTTCTGAATTTGGATTCAAAAATGGTTTTGAAAAGCTTTAAGATTTGGCAAAAAAAAAAAAAAATATATATACCCTCCAATTTTTGAAACTTTTTTAATTTAATAATTCTAATTAGTGAATTTTTGCATTATTTTATTATTTATATATTACATCGATATTATTTTTTTTTTTTAAATTAATTTCAAAATAAAAAAATGTTATTTTTGCAGATCATGACAAAGGCATCAATTTTAATGGGATGGATATTTTTCCAATTGATGATATCAAGTGGTTGGACATTTTTTTGCAACCACATTCCTCCCCATGGATTTGAAACACCACGTACACAATTGGATGATGAATTTCAAATTGTTATGAGTAATGTCAATCGCACCGACTACTTTCAAAGTTACATGCCACGCACCAATTACATGTGTAAGTTTACAAAATTTCTATTTTTAATTTTTTTTTTATTATTTATGTTAATCTTTTTATTCAAAAAAATTTTTTTTTTTTGAAAGAGGAGGATTTTTACATTTATTTTTTATTATTTTAAACCTTTCGGTGACATAATTATAGAAAATAACTGAAAAAAAAAATTGGAAAAATTGTATTTAAAAAGTTTTTAACGTCACTAATTGTGAACGTTTTCAAAAATCCAAAATGTCGGATCCAATATGGTAGAGGAAATTAAAAAAATTTTATTTATAATCTCAAAAATAACAACTGTATTTTTTATTTCTTATTTTTTTCTTAATTTCTTATTCGAATTTATATAAAAAAATTAAATTTTATTTTAATAAGCGATTAAAACCAAAAAAAAATTTTAATAAATTTAAAAAAAATAATTTATAGTTTATACATTAAAATAAATTATAGTAACAAGTTCTATATGTATAATGTCAATGTTTTATAATTTGTATGAAGTTATTACCAAGTTTCCAGACGCCTCTGAATGTTTCAGTAACTTGGAGACTCAGGTTTACATTCCAAAAGTTGAAAATGTTCCTCGTATATATAATATAGTAGTGAATTCTAAATGAACTCTACATATATGAAATGTACATATTGTGAATTATAAATTTTGTCATTCTAAAATGTCCCAACAAAACCTTACAAAACTTTTTCAGTATAACGCATTTATTGCCGTTGTTTTTTCACTCAAAAGTCAGAAAAAAATACTAAAACCCCTAAAGAAATAAATTTTAAGCAAATCTAAACGATTTTTAAATTTTAAACCACCATATTGGTTCCGCCATTTTGAATTTTTAAAAACTGTAAGCAAATTCATAATCAGCGACCCCGTAAACCCCCAAAAACAAGTTTCAAAACATTTTGAACGATTTTTTAAAAATGGCGGCCATATTAGGATACGCCATTTTGAATTTTGAAAAACGGATATCGAATTTATAATTAGCGACCCCGAAAACCCCCGAGAAACAAGTTTCAAAGGATTTGAAAAGATTTTTAAAAATGGCCGCCATATTGGATACTCCATTTTGAATTTTGAAAATATCACCTCAAATTCGAAATTAACGACCCCAAAAACCCCAGAGTAACAAGTTTCAGGCAAATTAGGAGAAGAATTTAAATTTTTTAGTCACTCATATTAAAGCCGCCATTTTGAATTTTGTAAAACTGACATCGGATTCGTAATCAGCGATCCGAAAAACCCCCGAATAAAAATTTTCAAAGCATTTGGAACGATTTTTAAAAATGGCCGCCATATTGGATACTCCATTTTGAATTTTGAAAATATCACCTCAAATTCGAAATTAACGACCCCAAAAACCCTAGAGTAACAAGTTTCAGGCAAATTAGGAGAAGAATTTAAATTTTTAGTCACTCATATTAAAGCCGCCATTTTGAATTTTGTAAAACTGACATCGGATTCGTAATCAGCGACCCGAAAAACCCCCGAATAAAAATTTTCAAGCGAATTTGATCAATTTTTACATAATCGCCCGCCATATTGCAGCCGCCATTTTGAATTTTGAAAAACGGACACCGAATCAGTAATCAGCGACCCCGAAAACTCCCGAGAAACAAATTTCAAAGCATTTGGAACGATTTTTAAAAATGTCCGCCATATTGGATACGCCATTTTGAATTTTTTAAATTTAACCAACAAAAATAAATGAATTGTGCTCAGTGCCATAGTTTTTTTCTTATAAAAAAGTAGAAGTTTTCGAAAATTGACTATATTTATAAAACAAGAATTAGTGTAATTAAATTAATATTGAAAAAAATTTTTATTTCAAAGAAAATAAATTTTATCGTGTAATTTTAAATAAAAAAAAAAAAAAAAATATGAAAAAAACTTAATTTATTGTACAAATGAAATAAACTCAATTTACACACTTTAGCTCTTAAATTGAAAACGCATAACAGCATTGAGCTTGTAATGCGGTTACTTGATTGCACGTGTCTAACGCTTAGTGATAATACGATTAAGAGTCGCAATAAAATAATCGGTCTGTCAGAGATGGAACGTTACGTGACAATTTAGAAACATTTCAATTATTTTTCTCATTCACATTATTGTGTGTGGGTCATTTTACTTGATTTCTTCTATTGTTTTAAATTTTTTTTTTTTTTTATTTTATCCTAAATTGAAATAAAAAATTATGGGACTAGAATTAGGAAAATTAAAGTTTTTAAATAAAATTGAAAAACAATTAAATATATGATTGGAAAAAAAATCTGTATTATTTACCTCAGGGAGAATTATATTTTTCTTTTTGTCTTTGTTTTTTGGCATTGAGAGAAAATAATAAATAAATCAATTTCACCTCTGAATATAGTAAATTTTTCAAACGTCACCAATTTTAGAAGGTTTATTTTTTATTCTCCTTTGCGAATTTAATAAAAATAAAATTTTTTATGATTTATGTAACGAAACCTTTTTTTTGGAAATTTTTAAAAATCAACGTAATATTTATTTTACTAATGGAATATCTAAAAGCCTTTTTCTATTCTCATCTTCGTTATCTATTTTTTCCCTTCCTAACCTTTTTCCTTCTTTCTTCCATTCCATTTCTGCCTAACCTAACCTAACCTAACCTAACCTAACCTAACCTAACCTAACCTAACCTAACCTAACCTAACCTAACCTAACCTAACCTAACCTAACCTAACCTAACCTAACCTAACCTAACCTAACCTAACCTAACCTAACCTAACCTAACGTAAACTAACCTCTACCAACTTGCGCAAACTTTTACCCTCTTAAATTATTCCCCCCTTCCCAAAAAAAAAGTAAATAACTAAAAAACATTTAGTGTGTCTCGCACGCTACTTTACACTAACGATACCGGAAACGGAAGCCCTATAGTTTAACTTAATTAACGAGATCCGTTTGAAAGTCTATATAAAGTTATCGAGGGACAGATTGTTGCTCGCAAGCATTTGTGGCTTCGTGTGTATTATATGGGTCTTCGCATTTCAACTACTTTTTCTCTGTTACTTTAACTTTACAACTCATAAAATGTAAAATTTATTAATAACAATTTTCTACTGTACAATCGCGAATTTGTCGTTGATTACGAATCTTGAATTAGTTTTCCAAAATTCAAAATGGCGGATCCAATATGGCAGACGATTTTTTGAAAAATTGATCAAATTCACTTGAAAATTTTTACTCGGGGGTTTTTGGAGTCGCTCTGCTTTCGAATCCGATGTCAGTTTTAAAAATTCAAAATGGTGGATACAAATATGGCGGACAATTTTTGTAAAAATTGATTAAATTCGCTTGAAAGTTTTTACTCGGGGGTTTATATTTTTAAAATTGAAAATTTCGTTGATTTAATTAAGCCATTATAGGTCTGAAAGTTAATTAATTTTTTCTTTTTTACTTTTTATTAATTAATATTTTTAATTTTTGTTCAGTATCATTATTTCCAGTTAATGGAGTTTGTCACACGCGATATTATAACTCTAAAAACCTTCGTAAAGGTATCGCATGTCCCACGCAATGTCACTTTAATACTCAAGTTCATTGAAAATGTTTCACATATGTGTGTAAAAAAAATTTTTTTTTTCATTTCTCCAGAAATATTATTATAAGTCTTTAATCTGCTATATATGATATTTAAAAAAAAAATAATAAAATTTTTCATTTTATTTATAAAAAAAAAGCTCTCGCTAATTAAAACTTTTTGTATTTCGAAAATCAAAGTTTCTTTTCAAATTATCATTAAAATAGAAAAAATATGTATATATGGAAATAAAATACTCGCGAAACGGAAGAAACTGATAATAATTTAATTCTTTTAATGATCAACGTTTTTAAAACTTTTTTTTTTAAATATTTTCTTTTTTTAAATAAAAGTTCACTGGAAAGAAAAAAAAATATAGTAGAAAACTCATTAAAATCATATATAAAATTCTTGCATGACTGAAGATGCAAAAGAATTCTTTTTGAGTGAAATTCGACTGCTTTTCAATTTGAAATCGTTTGAAGTTACGAGAGCTCACAATTATCTTGCCAATATCAGTCAGCCAAGTAGAGGAGGGAAAGTGTTTGCTATCATCCAACAGCAACGCGAACATTTAATCCTGACGTGGGATTTATCAATATTCACTCAGCCAATTTCCGACTCTTAATTTCAAGTTAAACGTCAGCAAAAAAAAAAAAAAAAAATTTCCCTGACTGTGTTTTTTCTCTTTCCAGTTTTTATCCTTTTTCTATTATAAACACAGAATATTAAAAAAAAGAGTGCCCATTTTCAAATATTGAAATTACCATTTTTTCGTAAACAAATGTTTTAGTAGTAAAAAATTTTTTTTAAATATTTTAACTAAAACCAAAGTTTCATCTGAATAATTTTATAAAATTTTTATAAATTTTCATCCTTAGTAATTTTGTTAATTAAATTAATTTTAAAAAATTAAAACCATAGACGAATATTTTTAATTTAATTTTTTTCTTTAAATTTGAAAATAGTTGGAAAATATTGTAATTTTTTTGTAAATAGTTATCCAATGTTAAGCAATTAATATTTTATTAAAGTAAATAAATGTTAATTAATTTCAATATGTTTACATAATATTAATCAAATTTCGTGCAAATACGTTCAATAATTTAAACTAAGTATATAACATTGTTTATATTTTTTAATTTTACTAAAAATTTGATTTTTACTTTTTCGATATGAGCTTAGAGTGATCATATATATATATTTGGATAGAAATTATTAACAAACAAACTAAACCAATACTATACAGGAATAACTGCCCTCGGGTCACTATCTGTAATTTAGATTATTTACTGAAGCGTGATTTGTATCAGCAAAATTCTTAATAGAACGATTTATATCTTATGGCAAAAAGTATTTAATTTTTTATTTCCATAAGTTTTCAAAAATAAATATACCTATTAATAGCTTATTAATTTTTGTTATTTTTAAAAAATTTTTTAATTTTTTAAATTTATTTTTTTATTTTTTAAAATGTATGTTTTTCAAATATATTTTAAATATTTGTAAAATTTTTTAAATGTATTTTTAATTTTTAGGGTTCCACTCACGCATTGAACCGAAACGGAACCCTTATGGTATCACTACTCATGTCCGTCCACAAAATCCTCTTCCTCCCCCTCTAAAATCTAACCAATTTAATCGTTTGGGCTCAAACTTGGTACACATCCGTATTTTTACGAGTATATTAAAGAAAAATTATAGCGAACCCGATTGGCATTGAATTCAATATAGTTATAGTACAAAAACTTCAAATTTCGGAAAAAACTTATTCTTTTCCCCTTTAACTTTTCCAGGTTTAGAACTAAAAAACAGAAACTTGGTACACATATATAATTTTATGTATAGATTTCACGAAGGGTGGTAATAAGGGTCTTCCTCTACACAGATCGGGGTGTCAATTTTTTTCTACACTTTTAGGTGTATTTTGTGCAAGAATATGCAATAAAATCGTCTGCCTAAGAAAAATTGAATTTTTTTGGAAATTTTTTTTCGGACCTGGATGACTTTTTGGTGGTAATAGAGGTCTTCCTCTACTCGGATTTGGCTGTCGATTTTTTCTTCACTTTTAGGTGTATTTTGTGCAAGAATATGCAATAAAATCGTCTGCCTAAGAAAAATTGAATTTTATTGGAAATTTTTTCTTTGACCTGGAGGACTTTTTGGAGGTAATAGAGGTCTTCCTCTACTCGGATTTGGCTGTCGATTTTTTTCTACACTTTTAGGTGTATTTTGTGCAAGAATATGCAATAAAATCGTCTGCCTAAGAAAAATTGAATTTTTTTGGAAATTTTTTTTTGACCTGGATGACTTTTTGGTGGTAATAGAGGTCTTCCTCTACTCGGATTTGGCTGTCGATTTTTTTTAACACTTTTAGGTGTATTTTGTGCAAGAATATGCAATAAAATCGTCTGCCTAAGAAAAATTGAATTTTTTTGGAAATTTTTTTTCGGACCTGGATGACTTTTTGGTGGTAATAGAGGTCTTCCTCTACTCGGATTTGGCTGTCGATTTTTTTCTACACTTTTAGGTGTATTTTGTGCAAGAATATGCAATAAAATCGTCTGCCTAAGAAAAATTGAATTTTTTTGGAAATTTTATTTTGGACCTGGATGACTTTTTGGTGGTAATAGAGGTCTTCCTCTACTCGGATTTGGCTGTCGATTTTTTTCTACACTTTTAGGTGTATTTTGTGCAAGAATATGCAATAAAATCGTCTGCCTAAGAAAAATTGAATTTTTTTGGAAATTTTTTTTCGGACCTGGATGACTTTTTGGTGGTAATAGAGGTCTTCCTCTACTCGGATTTGGCTGTCGATTTTTTTCTACACTTTTAGGTGTATTTTGTGCAAGAATATGCAATAAAATCGTCTGCCTAAGAAAAATTGAATTTTTTTGGAAATTTTATTTTGGACCTGGATGACTTTTTGGTGGTAATAGAGGTCTTCCTCTACTCGGATTTGGCTGTCGATTTTTTTCTACACTTTTAGGTGTATTTTGTGCAAGAATATGCAATAAAATCGTCTGCCTAAGAAAAATTGAATTTTTTTGGAAATTTTATTTTGGACCTGGATGACTTTTTGGTGGTAATAGAGGTCTTCCTCTACTCGGATTTGGCTGTCGATTTTTTCTTCACTTTTAGGTGTATTTTGTGCAAGAATATGCAATAAAATCGTCTGCCTAAGAAAAATTGAATTTTTTTGGAAATTTTTTTTCGGACCTGGATGACTTTTTAATGGTAATAGAGGTCTTCCTCTACTCGGATTTGGCTGTCGATTTTTTTCTACACTTTTAGGTGTATTTTGTGCAAGAATATGCAATAAAATCGTCTGCCTAAGAAAAATTGAATTTTTTTGGAAATTTTATTTTGCACCTGGATGACTTTTTGGTGGTAATAGAGGTATTCCTCTACTCGGATTTGGCTGTCGATTTTTTTTAACACTTTTAGGTGTATTTTGTGCAAGAATATGCAATAAAATCGTCTGCCTAAGAAAAATTGAATTTTTTTGGAAATTTTTTTTCGGACCTGGATGACTTTTTGGTGGTAATAGGGGTCTTCCTCTACTCGGATTTGGCTGTCGATTTTTTTCTACACTTTTAGGTGTATTTTGTGCAAGAATATGCAATAAAATCGTCTGCCTAAGAAAAATTGAATTTTTTTGGAAATTTTATTTTGCACCTGGATGACTTTTTGGTGGTAATAGAGGTATTCCTCTACTCGGATTTGGCTGTCGATTTTTTTCTACACTTTTAGGTGTATTTTGTGCAAGAATATGCAATAAAATCGTCTGCCTAAGAAAAATTGAATTTTTTTGAAAATTTTTTTTTTGACCTGGATGACTTTTTGGTGGTAATAGAGGTCTTCCTCTACTCGGATTTGGCTGTCGATTTTTTTTAACACTTTTAGGTGTATTTTGTGCAAGAATATGCAATAAAATCGTCTGCCTAAGAAAAATTGAATTTTTTTGAAAATTTTTTTTTTGACCTGGATGACTTTTTGGTGGTAATAGAGGTCTTCCTCTACTCGGATTTGGCTGTCGATTTTTTTTAACACTTTTAGGTGTATTTTGTGCAAGAATATGCAATAAAATCGTCTGCCTAAGAAAAATTGAATTTTTTTGGAAATTTTTTTTCGGACCTGGATGACTTTTTGGTGGTAATAGGGGTCTTCCTCTACTCGGATTTGGCTGTCGATTTTTTTCTACACTTTTAGGTGTATTTTGTGCAAGAATATGCAATAAAATCGTCTGCCTAAGAAAAATTGAATTTTTTTGAAAATTTTTTTTTGACCTGGATGACTTTTTGGTGGTAATAGAGGTATTCCTCTACTCGGATTTGGCTGTCGATTTTTTTCTACACTTTTAGGTGTATTTTGTGCAAGAATATGCAATAAAATCGTCTGCCTAAGAAAAATTGAATTTTTTTGGAAATTTTATTTTGCACCTGGATGACTTTTTGGTGGTAATAGAGGTATTCCTCTACTCGGATTTGGCTGTCGATTTTTTTCTACACTTTTAGGTGTATTTTGTGCAAGAATATGCAATAAAATCGTCTGCCTAAGAAAAATTGAATTTTTTTGAAAATTTTTTTTTTGACCTGGATGACTTTTTGGTGGTAATAGAGGTCTTCCTCTACTCGGATTTGGCTGTCGATTTTTTTTAACACTTTTAGGTGTATTTTGTGCAAGAATATGCAATAAAATCGTCTGCCTAAGAAAAATTGAATTTTTTTGAAAATTTTTTTTTTGACCTGGATGACTTTTTGGTGGTAATAGAGGTCTTCCTCTACTCGGATTTGGCTGTCGATTTTTTTTAACACTTTTAGGTGTATTTTGTGCAAGAATATGCAATAAAATCGTCTGCCTAAGAAAAATTGAATTTTTTTGAAAATTTTTTTTTGGACCTGGATGACTTTTTGGTGGTAATAGAGGTCTTCCTCTACTCGGATTTGGCTGTCGATTTTTTTTACACTTTTAGGTGTATTTTGTGCAAGAATATGCAATAAAATCGTCTGCCTAAGAAAAATTGAATTTTTTTGAAAATTTTTTTTTTGACCTGGATGACTTTTTGGTGGTAATAGAGGTCTTCCTCTACTCGGATTTGGCTGTCGATTTTTTTCTACACTTTTAGGTGTATTTTGTGCAAGAATATGCAATAAAATCGTCTGCCTAAGAAAAATTGAATTTTTTTGGAAATTTTATTTTGCACCTGGATGACTTTTTGGTGGTAATAGAGGTCTTCCTCTACTCGGATTTGGCTGTCGATTTTTTTTAACACTTTTAGGTGTATTTTGTGCAAGAATATGCAATAAAATCGTCTGCCTAAGAAAAATTGAATTTTTTTGGAAATTTTATTTTGGACCTGGATGACTTTTTGGTGGTAATAGAGGTCTTCCTCTACTCGGATTTGGCTGTCGATTTTTTTAACACTTTTAGGTGTATTTTGTGCAAGAATATGCAATAAAATCGTCTGCCTAAGAAAAATTGAATTTTTTTGGAAATTTTTTTTCGGACCTGGATGACTTTTTGGTGGTAATAGAGGTCTTCCTCTACTCGGATTTGGCTGTCGATTTTTTTCTACACTTTTAGGTGTATTTTGTGCAAGAATATGCAATAAAATCGTCTGCCTAAGAAAAATTGAATTTTTTTGGAAATTTTTTTTTGGACCTGGATGACTTTTTGGTGGTAATAGAGGTCTTCCTCTACTCGGATTTGGCTGTCGATTTTTTTCTACACTTTTAGGTGTATTTTGTGCAAGAATATGCAATAAAATCGTCTGCCTAAGAAAAATTGAATTTTTTTGGAAATTTTTTTTTGGACCTGGATGACTTTTTGGTGGTAATAGAGGTCTTCCTCTACTCGGATTTGGCTGTCGATTTTTTTCTACACTTTTAGGTGTATTTTGTGCAAGAATATGCAATAAAATCGTCTGCCTAAGAAAAATTGAATTTTTTTGGAAATTTTTTTTTGCACCTGGATGACTTTTTGGTGGTAATAGAGGTCTTCCTCTACTCGGATTTGGCTGTCGATTTTTTTCTACACTTTTAGGTGTATTTTGTGCAAGAATATGCAATAAAATCGTCTGCCTAAGAAAAATTGAATTTTTTTGGAAATTTTATTTTGGACCTGGATGACTTTTTGGTGGTAATAGAGGTCTTCCTCTACTCGGATTTGGCTGTCGATTTTTTTCTACACTTTTAGGTGTATTTTGTGCAAGAATATGCAATAAAATCGTCTGCCTAAGAAAAATTGAATTTTTTTGGAAATTTTTTTTTGGACCTGGATGACTTTTTGGTGGTAATAGAGGTCTTCCTCTACTCGGATTTGGCTGTCGATTTTTTTCTACACTTTTAGGTGTATTTTGTGCAAGAATATGCAATAAAATCGTCTGCCTAAGAAAAATTGAATTTTTTTGGAAATTTTTTTTTGGACCTGGATGACTTTTTGGTGGTAATAGAGGTCTTCCTCTACTCGGATTTGGCTGTCGATTTTTTTCTACACTTTTAGGTGTATTTTGTGCAAGAATATGCAATAAAATCGTCTGCCTAAGAAAAATTGAATTTTTTTGGAAATTTTTTTTTGGACCTGGATGACTTTTTGGTGGTAATAGAGGTCTTCCTCTACTCGGATTTGGCTGTCGATTTTTTTCTACACTTTTAGGTGTATTTTGTGCAAGAATATGCAATAAAATCGTCTGCCTAAGAAAAATTGAATTTTTTTGGAAATTTTTTTTTGGACCTGGATGACTTTTTGGTGGTAATAGAGGTCTTCCTCTACTCGGATTTGGCTGTCGATTTTTTTCTACACTTTTAGGTGTATTTTGTGCAAGAATATGCAATAAAATCGTCTGCCTAAGAAAAATTGAATTTTTTTGGAAATTTTTTTTTGGACCTGGATGACTTTTTGGTGGTAATAGAGGTCTTCCTCTACTCGGATTTGGCTGTCGATTTTTTTCTACACTTTTAGGTGTATTTTGTGCAAGAATATGCAATAAAATCGTCTGCCTAAGAAAAATTGAATTTTTTTGGAAATTTTTTTTTGGACCTGGATGACTTTTTGGTGGTAATAGAGGTCTTCCTCTACTCGGATTTGGCTGTCGATTTTTTTCTACACTTTTAGGTGTATTTTGTGCAAGAATATGCAATAAAATCGTCTGCCTAAGAAAAATTGAATTTTTTTGGAAATTTTTTTTTGGACCTGGATGACTTTTTGGTGGTAATAGAGGTCTTCCTCTACTCGGATTTGGCTGTCGATTTTTTTCTACACTTTTAGGTGTATTTTGTGCAAGAATATGCAATAAAATCGTCTGCCTAAGAAAAATTGAATTTTTTTGGAAATTTTTTTTTGGACCTGGATGACTTTTTGGTGGTAATAGAGGTCTTCCTCTACTCGGATTTGGCTGTCGATTTTTTTCTACACTTTTAGGTGTATTTTGTGCAAGAATATGCAATAAAATCGTCTGCCTAAGAAAAATTGAATTTTTTTGGAAATTTTTTTTTGGACCTGGATGACTTTTTGGTGGTAATAGAGGTCTTCCTCTACTCGGATTTGGCTGTCGATTTTTTTCTACACTTTTAGGTGTATTTTGTGCAAGAATATGCAATAAAATCGTCTGCCTAAGAAAAATTGAATTTTTTTGGAAATTTTTTTTTGGACCTGGATGACTTTTTGGTGGTAATAGAGGTCTTCCTCTACTCGGATTTGGCTGTCGATTTTTTTCTACACTTTTAGGTGTATTTTGTGCAAGAATATGCAATAAAATCGTCTGCCTAAGAAAAATTGAATTTTTTTGGAAATTTTTTTTTGGACCTGGATGACTTTTTGGTGGTAATAGAGGTCTTCCTCTACTCGGATTTGGCTGTCGATTTTTTTCTACACTTTTAGGTGTATTTTGTGCAAGAATATGCAATAAAATCGTCTGCCTAAGAAAAATTGAATTTTTTTGGAAATTTTTTTTTGGACCTGGATGACTTTTTGGTGGTAATAGAGGTCTTCCTCTACTCGGATTTGGCTGTCGATTTTTTTCTACACTTTTAGGTGTATTTTGTGCAAGAATATGCAATAAAATCGTCTGCCTAAGAAAAATTGAATTTTTTTGGAAATTTTTTTTTGGACCTGGATGACTTTTTGGTGGTAATAGAGGTCTTCCTCTACTCGGATTTGGCTGTCGATTTTTTTCTACACTTTTAGGTGTATTTTGTGCAAGAATATGCAATAAAATCGTCTGCCTAAGAAAAATTGAATTTTTTTGGAAATTTTTTTTTGGACCTGGATGACTTTTTGGTGGTAATAGAGGTCTTCCTCTACTCGGATTTGGCTGTCGATTTTTTTCTACACTTTTAGGTGTATTTTGTGCAAGAATATGCAATAAAATCGTCTGCCTAAGAAAAATTGAATTTTTTTGGAAATTTTTTTTTGGACCTGGATGACTTTTTGGTGGTAATAGAGGTCTTCCTCTACTCGGATTTGGCTGTCGATTTTTTTCTACACTTTTAGGTGTATTTTGTGCAAGAATATGCAATAAAATCGTCTGCCTAAGAAAAATTGAATTTTTTTGGAAATTTTTTTTTGGACCTGGATGACTTTTTGGTGGTAATAGAGGTCTTCCTCTACTCGGATTTGGCTGTCGATTTTTTTCTACACTTTTAGGTGTATTTTGTGCAAGAATATGCAATAAAATCGTCTGCCTAAGAAAAATTGAATTTTTTTGGAAATTTTTTTTTGGACCTGGATGACTTTTTGGTGGTAATAGAGGTCTTCCTCTACTCGGATTTGGCTGTCGATTTTTTTCTACACTTTTAGGTGTATTTTGTGCAAGAATATGCAATAAAATCGTCTGCCTAAGAAAAATTGAATTTTTTTGGAAATTTTTTTTTGGACCTGGATGACTTTTTGGTGGTAATAGAGGTCTTCCTCTACTCGGATTTGGCTGTCGATTTTTTTCTACACTTTTAGGTGTATTTTGTGCAAGAATATGCAATAAAATCGTCTGCCTAAGAAAAATTGAATTTTTTTGGAAATTTTTTTTTGGACCTGGATGACTTTTTGGTGGTAATAGAGGTCTTCCTCTACTCGGATTTGGCTGTCGATTTTTTTCTACACTTTTAGGTGTATTTTGTGCAAGAATATGCAATAAAATCGTCTGCCTAAGAAAAATTGAATTTTTTTGGAAATTTTTTTTTGGACCTGGATGACTTTTTGGTGGTAATAGAGGTCTTCCTCTACTCGGATTTGGCTGTCGATTTTTTTCTACACTTTTAGGTGTATTTTGTGCAAGAATATGCAATAAAATCGTCTGCCTAAGAAAAATTGAATTTTTTTGGAAATTTTTTTTTGGACCTGGATGACTTTTTGGTGGTAATAGAGGTCTTCCTCTACTCGGATTTGGCTGTCGATTTTTTTCTACACTTTTAGGTGTATTTTGTGCAAGAATATGCAATAAAATCGTCTGCCTAAGAAAAATTGAATTTTTTTGGAAATTTTTTTTTGGACCTGGATGACTTTTTGGTGGTAATAGAGGTCTTCCTCTACTCGGATTTGGCTGTCGATTTTTTTCTACACTTTTAGGTGTATTTTGTGCAAGAATATGCAATAAAATCGTCTGCCTAAGAAAAATTGAATTTTTTTGGAAATTTTTTTTTGGACCTGGATGACTTTTTGGTGGTAATAGAGGTCTTCCTCTACTCGGATTTGGCTGTCGATTTTTTTCTACACTTTTAGGTGTATTTTGTGCAAGAATATGCAATAAAATCGTCTGCCTAAGAAAAATTGAATTTTTTTGGAAATTTTTTTTTGGACCTGGATGACTTTTTGGTGGTAATAGAGGTCTTCCTCTACTCGGATTTGGCTGTCGATTTTTTTCTACACTTTTAGGTGTATTTTGTGCAAGAATATGCAATAAAATCGTCTGCCTAAGAAAAATTGAATTTTTTTGGAAATTTTTTTTTGGACCTGGATGACTTTTTGGTGGTAATAGAGGTCTTCCTCTACTCGGATTTGGCTGTCGATTTTTTTCTACACTTTTAGGTGTATTTTGTGCAAGAATATGCAATAAAATCGTCTGCCTAAGAAAAATTGAATTTTTTTGGAAATTTTTTTTTGGACCTGGATGACTTTTTGGTGGTAATAGAGGTCTTCCTCTACTCGGATTTGGCTGTCGATTTTTTTCTACACTTTTAGGTGTATTT